GTTTAAGGCCAGCCCAGGCAAATAGTTTGCAAGACCCCATCTCCAAAATAACCAGAGCAAAAAGCGGACCGAAGATGCTGCTCAAGTGATAGAATGCCTGTTTTGCAAGCACAAAGCCCTGAGTTCAAACCCCAGTCCCACCAAAAATAAGAGAGAAAGATTACAAGCCAAAGATAGTATAAGAATTTTTAGGAGGCATGTTTAAAGAGTGTAGGTTAAACTATTTTTTGTTTTGTTAACTATTAAACTGTTATTGCCTGTCAACAGCTTTTAACATAGAAAGTCCTAGTAAATGCTGAGTGGTTGATAACAAGGACCTGAGCAGTGATGAATTAAGAAGAATGAATTTGATCATGTGAAAGTAGAATTCACAGGACTTAGAAACTAAATATGAATTGGATGTGGGGGGAGAAACAAAAGGAGTTGAAGATGACTCTGAAGGTCCACCTAGTATGATCAAGAGGATGACAGTGTCAATAGAATAGGGAACATAGTCTTGGGGGAAAATGAGATGACAGCAGGATAACCATGTGGCATGTTCAGCAGGCATTTTGAAATTCAGTGCTTGAACTCATGACAAGTGGAGCTGAAACTAAATATTTGAGGCAGCTTCACAAAGTGACTACTCAAGATTACACAGAAAGCCATTTTTAAACATTACTGCTCTGCTATTTACTGACTTTGATAACATGTTGATAGTTTGCTTAATAGTTTGAAGTAATAATGTATATAAAGCTCTGAATACTTTTAATAATGTGCATAGATGCTATTCTTTTCTCTTCTCTTTGGTGGCAGTTATTTATTAAGAAAGCAGTGTACATACTTACCTAGCAGGGGAGTACCATGATGGTACCTGGTTTTCCCAGGGCGAGGCTTATCCATTGCACTCCGGATGTGCTGACCCTTGTTGTTTCCCCAAATGTGGGAAATGTGACTGCAATTATAATTTGTGGTAGTGGGGAACTGCATTCACGCTCTCCTCTCTAATAAAAAAATTTTTAAAAAAAGAGCAGTGTACAGAGAGAAAAGCAGCTACATTTAGGAGAAAAAGTAAGGAACAGACTTCTGCAGGGTTAGGTTACAAATCAAGAGAATAAGCATCAGAGAAGAGCAAGTGATAACAGTTTCAAGGATGTCATCATGTTGGACAGTTAGGAGGTCAGAGAGTTATTTTAGGGCATGGTCCTTTCTTACATTTTTTGGTTTAAAAAATCTTGAAGCAGTGATGACTATGCAGTGATTTCAAAGACCGGAGTAAAAGTATGGCCTTAAGTAGCTAGAAGACCAGATTTAATGGAGTAAACCTTAAAAGGTGGTAATACTTGGGTAGAGTAAAAATAAGGAGGAAAAGATCACCTTGGTTTTTACTAGACTAATGAAACCTTTTGGTTAAATGATGATAAAATAAAGGAGCAGTTTATAGCTGAAAAGAAGAATTAGTGTCAGATTACGGAGACCTTAGGGAATCTTGAAAAATGGGAAAACTGGATTTGGGCTTTTCTTTAATCATGCTTACTGATTTTCAAGTGAGAATTAAATCCCATCTTTATAGTTTGTAGCAAAAAATTAATGCCAAATATGTTTTAAGGCTTTTTGTATGATTATATGTCAGACTTAATTAGATGTTATAATTTTTGTGTAATAAATTAGGCATTTTTCCCTTTCCTTTTAGGTCAGCTTTCTTTCTATGATGCAAACTCAAAACAGTTGCTGTATTCCTTCAAGACAAAGTTTACTCAGCCAGTACTACCTGGTTTCATGGTTAGTACCTAGTTTATATTTTATTTGGTTTGGCAACTTTAAGGAGAATAATCTATGCTTCATTATTTGGGGAAGCAGAGTATCTTTTTTTCCCATTATATTCATCTCCCTTTCTTCAATCCACCCTCTCCAAAATCTGAGATTTTCTGTATGCTTTATTGAAGTCATTATTAATACATAAAAGTACACAAATCATAATCATGAATTTTTATGGGACTACACTCACTTTTGTAACTACCACCTAGACCAAGAAATGGACCATTAAAAGCACCACAGAGGCCTCTATGCCCATTTCCATTCTCTAGGTAACGTTCTCCAAAGAGTAATTACTACCTTGGAGTTTTAATACCTTAAATTCATTTTGCTTCCTTTTCAACTCTGTGTAGTTAAGTAGCTCCTACATTTATCTTTTGGCTCAATATTTTGTGTTTGTGACATTTACCCATGTTCCTGTGATTGTAGTTCATTCATTCTCATAGCTGTATATTTTCTGTTACATGATTTACATCACAATTTATGCATTCTGTAGTCAGATATGTGATTGTTTCCATTTGGGGGTTGCATACACACATATATAATTCCAGATATACTCAACTGCAGACTGATTTATATAATAAAAATTCATGTTTCTCCACACAAAATAGTTTTGAATTAACTTCTTTTATCAAGGTTACTGCTACTTGTAATACCTTAATCATTTGCATTTCTCCATAAAGTTGGCCTGCTGTGGGGAGTTCTGGGATCCAGTTAAGGGCACCATTATTTTGGGTAAAACTTTCCTTAATTTGGGGACTACCTCTACAAATGAGTATGGCATATTTCAAGTACAGACTTTGTAGAATGTTTTGTATGTGTGTTCTTCCATTATTAACCCTCACTGTAACCTCACACAGTGAAGAGAAAGTATTCAGGGTATATATGAGTTTAAAATACATAAAAAACTTTTAAACCTCACAATCAATAATAATTTTTATTCTAGGAACTTAAAATCTTAAGCTTAAATCAGTGCTAATAACCAAGACTCCTACTTTTTCACCAAAAAATAAAAGTTATTAGTGAATAAAGATATTGCTCATGGAAAAATACTTAAAAATATCAGAAGGATTTTTTTTCCTTCCTTTGTTTAAACTTTGCCACAAGCCTCTGCTGTATTATGTATTTTTGGATGCTTTTCAATTAGCCAGTCAGGGACAAATTTTTCCCATATGGAACTCACAGAAGTTCTATTTTTCCCAATTCTGAGATACACTTTAATAAAAGGAATTTCATTTTTAATTCAAATACATCTCATGTGTTTATTGTATTTATTTTTAAATTCCAAATAAACTATAATTACACATTTATAAGTACCATACAATGCTTTGGAAAATTATTTTAAACTTATTAAACTTGGTTTTATTTTCCTTCATTGAAGTTTGGGCATTTATAAATAATCATATGAATAATTATACTATAAACATTCACACTTGAGTGTTGTGTGAAAATACTGTTTCGTTTCTCTCAGGTAAATATCTAAGAGTAATAGGTAGCTGGAACACATAAAGATTGTATGCTTAGCTTTATGAGAAACTAACAAAATGTTTTCCAAAGTGGTTATACCATTTTTGCATTACTAACAGCAATATATGAGAGTTTATCACATCCTTGCATTGTTTGGTATTGTCAAGATTTTTCTTGTCCTGATACTGTTTTAGTATGTATGTAGTGGTTGTTTCATTATTCCCACTTTGCTAATGACAAACGATGCTGAGCATCTTTTCATGCACTTATTTGCCATTTGTATAATTTCTTTTTTTTTTTCCTGTGCTGAGGACTGAACTCAGGGCCTTGTACTTGCCAGTGCAAGCGCTCTTCCACTGAGCTAAATCCCCAACCCTGTATAATTTCTTTGATGAAGCAGATGTTAAATTCCTTTGCTCATTTTGTGAGGCAATATTTATTTACTTATTGTTGAATTTTCAGAGTTCTTTATAAACTTGGGCTATAAAACTTTTATTGAATGTGTTTTGTAGATATTCTCCCCAGTTTATAGCTTGCTTTTTCATTTACTAGACATCAAATAAAGCTTTTCATTTTGATATAAAGTCCAATTTATCTGACTTTTTCTCCTTTATGGGTAAGTCTTTGCCTAACACATGGTCTCAAAGATATTCTTGTGTTTCTCAGTGAAATTTTAGGTTTTATATTTAGATCTGTGATTCACTTTGAATTAATTTTTCTATAAAATAGGGTTCAAGGTTCACTTTTTGCATATGGATATCCAATTCTTTTGCTACTACTTATTGAAAAGTACTACCCTTTCTCCATTAATTTGCTTTTGTACCTTTGTGCTAAACCTAGTAATTTTTTAATGTCAGGATTTTATCATTACGGAGCCTGCTGACTTTGAAATTTTAGGGTGTTTTAATTATATAATTATGAATTTCAGTCAATAGATTCTTTGGTTCAGTACTCCAGTTAGTAGATACTAACTGACAGTGGAAATACTAAACTTCTAGAATTTCCTTTGCTTTAGACTTGTATCTGCTACATATATGGTAGCTGATGATAACTTTAATGGTTCATATTTTCATATTTTAAGTTTTAACTCTGTTCCCAATCTGCTTTGTTTTACTTTGTTGAATAATAGTGCACTGTTTCACAAGCAAAGCTTTTTTTAGAAACTTATTCATATTTGTGATAACTAATAGAACATGGTAATTGACTTGGATATTGTCATTTGCATTTTTCTTAGAAGTCCTTCTTAAAGAATTTTAAATGTTCTTCCTGTTAACAAGAAACCAATGAACTCTGTTAGAAGAGGGACATTAGATTCCTATAGTCAAGGGTGACATCTCATGATCAAAACCTAAAGGAATATATGGAATAAGGAAGTTGGGTATTTTGTGCACTTCCCTTGGTTGTAAAGGTTAGTGTCAGTAATGATGGCCAATATCTTTTGCCTAAATTGAATCCAGTTTAGTCTAAATTTCTTCAGTTCTGAGTTCCCTTTCTTGGGTGTACCTTCAGTGGCTTCTGCTACCATAAAGACTTCTTTTGGCCTCTGTGGTTTTAGAAGAATCCTGAATTTTCCTGCTTCTCCTCAGCACAAATATGAAGGCTGTCATTTTGGTACTTGTTGGTTTTCATGCACCTGCCATTTGGCTTTGAAATAGAAATTTAAGAATCACTGGAAACCTGTTGCCAGGACTTACGCCTCTAATTCTAGCTATGTGGGAGACAGAGATTGTGAAGATTGGGGTTGGAGGTCAGCCCAGGCAGAAAGTTTGGGAGATCCCATCCCATTTCAACCAATAAAAGCTGGGCATAGGGCTAGTGAAGTGACTCAAGTAGTAAAGAACCTGCCTAGCAAGTGTGAGGCTTTGAGTTCAAACCCCAGGACCACAAAAAAAAAAAAAAGCTGGACATGGTGGTACACATCTGTAATCCCAGCTATACAGGAAGCATAAATAGGATCAAAGTCAGGCCAGCCTGGGGTTTAAAAATGTGAGACCCTATTTGAAAAATAATAAAGGGTTAGAGATGTGGATCAAGTGGTACATCTGCCTGGTAAGCTCGAAGCCCTGAGTTCACCACCAAAAGGAAAAAAATTTAAAAGAATCACTGGTGTTTTGATCTGATTTGAAATCTAACAGGGGCTTTGTTTTTGTCTTTTCTTAGGTTTGGTGTGGTGGACTTTCTTTGAGTACTGGAATGCAGGTTCCAAGCGCTGTGAGAACACTTCAGAAAAGTGAAAATGGAATGACTGGCTCAGCTAGCAGTCTGAACAATGTTACTCAGTAATGCTTACTCAGAATATGTTTACCCTCCCTCTTGATTGGGTGGCCTTTTCTGTGCTGTTGCTAATCACAGAAAGTTGTGAGTGGTGGAAATCAGGTTTGCTGTGTCTGCTTTAGGCCTGGAATCTGTTAGCTTATGCATCTAGTATGGAGCATTTATAGGAATCTCCTGTGCAATATCATAGAAGCAAGCAGTTATTGAGCAAGACACTGATGTTTTGAATAGAAAATGGGAAAAAGACAGTGTTTAAGTATTTATATAGAAACTCATTTTTGTGTTTCTTAGATTACCTTGGCTCTTTAGTAGGTTTCATTTAAGCTTAGGACCCGGGCTGCAAAAGCTTTTTAAGGCTTGCCTTCCTTCCTCTCTTAAATCCATCTTTGATAAAATTCCCATTTGAATTTGGCACTAAGTGATTATAATTATTGCTGATTTTAACATTATTATTAGGAATGAAAGTTTATAAATAAAGGGCAGAAAACTATATATTACTCCACTTTTCTTAAGAAGGAAGGATGGGAGATGCCTAAAAAATTCTTTACTATATTCTTTTTAATATGATATGGTTTAAACAACTATTTTGAAAAAAAATCTACCTATCTCTGACTTAATTGGCATATGAGTTTTTCAAAGAACCATTCAGAGGTTATTTTTTCCTCAGTCCTTTTGCTTATATTCATTTGCTTTCTAAAGGAGTGTAATACTTCCAAAAATCAATATGGATACCTTTGCCAAACTTGGGGGAATATGTTGAACAAGACATAAAGCCTGAGGTGATTAAGCAGAAAAATCTATTCTTAAAAAGTTGATTAAAGAGGCTGAGTGCTTACCCTGCCTCTTCCCATGGCTTGTCCTGAGCATGTAATAAATCTTGCTCTGTCCTTAAATAAAAAAAAGTCGATTAAAATTTGTAACGCAAGTCCTTTGAGCCAAACTAAAAGTTGTAATTACAGTATTTTAAGAATTCTCTGAGAATTTTAAAGAAATAAGAATGTGTATTTTTCTTAAATTTTGGAAACTTTTAATCTCTGACTGAGCTTCTTTCATTGTTTTAAGTGTATCTCATGCTGTGACATCTTCCCCCAAAAAGAGATCATTGCTGCTAACATTTGAGTTACTTTCAATATAAGGCCTGTGCAATAGTAATAACTCATTCCCTCTTCAAATTTACTGCTTACCGATTAAGACATTTTGTTCCATTGATGAAACAAATAGACCTAGGGTATTTTTTTCCTCAGAGGACAAATATCTGCATTATTATCTGACAACATGCTGGTAATTTTAAGACTTCTCCAAATAAATATTTTAATTTTTGTTCCTTGTATTTTGGAAAATTTTTGAGTATTCTGATCCCTATAGAAAGGCTATTTCCAGGACCTAAGGAAAAAAGGAATTTCCCTTTCATAGACTCAAACCTGAAAGAAGTAATTTAGTGCAGTTGCTTATGTGAATAGCTACACAGTATATTTTAGCAAAATTACACTGGAAAAGCCAATGTTCTTGTATAGAATTTTTTACTATTATGTCTTACATAATTGTGTCTTGTCAAGAATCCAGTGCCTTCTTCCTCTAAGCATGCTCTTGCTCCCTGCCCCATGCGGTGTCAATTGATATTCAGCCAGACAGCATTACATTATATAGTAGTGAGGGCCTTCTGTTGCAGGGAAGTGGGGAAAAGGAAATACTAGTCAGGGGCTGGAGAAGTGCATATGATTCTTTCTTATGCTCATGACATCATTTGAGAGTTTTCACATAAAATTTTCTAATATTCATTTGGAAAATGTATTAATTTCACTGGGAAATTTTCATTTCTCAGTGGCTTTGTAGTAATAAATATATTCAATAAATTCAGAGTCCAGGTTCTCATTCCAAGTAATACTTGCTATTAAATTTTACTATTAGTACTTCAAAATAAGGATCTGAGGGGTTCCCTCTCTCTGCTTCTTCTTAAAGGTCTCTAAAATTAAAGAACTGTGTGGTATTTTATTTTGTTTTAAGAATTTAATTTTGGCTGGGCACCGGTAGTTCATGTCTGTAATCGTAGCTACTTGGGAGGCTGAGATTGGGATAATCATAGTTTGAGGCCAACCCAGGCAAATAGTTTGTGAGACCCAATCTCCAAACAACCAGAGGAAAATGAACTGGAGGTGTGACTCAAGCAAAAAACCCAAAGTTCAAACCCCAGGTTCCACCAAAAAAAAAAAAAAAAAAAAAAAAGAATTTTATTTAAGTTAAGCAGAGAATATTTGTTAAACTTATTTTCAGACTAAAAATAACATAGTGCCTATCTAAAGATAACTGTTAATTTGATCATGATATATGACATTTTCATTGACATTTGTGTTAAAAATATTGAGCTCTTTTGCTCAACTTAATACATTGTAGAAAGTTGGTAAACCCTTTCAAACACTCTTTATTATTTTATTTACCTTTTTGTTTTGACACGTCAAACATGACTGCTTTCTATAAAGGAAATGCATGAGAGGTTGACTGTAATGGCTATTTCACAGGTGTAAAAATTATGTTTTAAAAAAACATGCACTGAGTATTTCATTTCCCTTTAGCAAATGAATTCCAGACCTGTTTTTATTAAACTGGATATAGAAATGAAAGAGCTGCCTTATGCACTTTAGAAAAAGAATTTTTCTACAATTCATTTTGACTCTTTCAGCTGACTATGTCACATACATCTTTAACTTCTGGCAAATATGTATATACTAATCATTTAATCGTTAGTGCACATAGAAATTAAATATACAGTGATTCTTTGAATGTTCCAGGTATAGGTAAATGAATTAGAAGTATTAAGGGCATGTCTGTTTGTAAGTGGGTTTAGTTGATGACATCTGTACCGTTTTGAGTGTTACACAGTTAAACTTGGCCAACTTTGTTCTGCAAATAGTAATTTTTCTCCACGTTATATAAACATAGTTTTCATTTATTTATTAATTTATGAAATTAAAGCATCAACAGTATCATGTATAATTTGAATTTGGGGGCTGATCCATGGTGGTATAAACAATAAAAGTATTTGTGATGAAATCTTCTAATTAGGCTAAGATATTCTATTTCATGACATCTAGAATGATTAGGTTTTCTCTATATTCTTTCCCATAAAATTGTAGTTATTTATGTATTTTGTTTGTTTTTTAAAAATTTGGAAAGATTTAGAAAAGGCTGTATATGTAAAATTATTATTCCAAAGAGTATTAATTTTAAAAGACAGGATAGACTTCTTACTATGAATTATATGATTCTAGGCTAAAAAAACCTATTTTTAAATCATCATAATTCCTATTTTAACAGCATATTTGTTAGATCAGTCTTCATTCATTGACTAGTTCATACAACAAATATTTTAGTTTCTATGCTATGGCATTCAAACTTTGATTACTTTGTATTCACATTTCCAAAACTAATAAAGATTAATTTACTGTTCACCTCATTCTGCTGCTTTTGAGTTGTGTGATAGAGACTGTATTTAAAAAATGTTTTGCTAATAATTCAGAAGTTTTTAACCATTTGTTGTAGCTTGTAAAAGAGACCTTCAAATTAACTGCATATAATATAGTTCACTTTTATATAGTCACATAAATAGGTCTGAAAAATTTGTTTCTTATTTTTACACTAGATATATTCTTTCAGAGAAAAACTTAATAGTTATCATAAATTTACAAATGTCCAGGTACTCACAGGTTTATTTTTAACAAAATGTATCTTTCAGCACTAAAGTTTAATTATAACACGTCATAAATGTTTTCTTCATCATCACAGCAAGATTACCTCATGTTCAGTAGTTTTAGTTTTGTGTATCATGTAGTATTCATATTCTGAAATTATAATTCTGATGCCATATATGATAGCTTTGTTACCTGGAATATATGATTAACCTAAATACTTTAATGATTTTGAATTAGAGTTTAAGCAGATCACTTTTGGTATCTGTGATTTTTTATTGAAAGACATTGTTGGACACACCATATAAAAGGCTCCTGTTGGCTTAGTAAATAAATACCAGAAATTGCCATGGTACTTAGACCATCAAATTATTAAACAAAAGAGTATTTGTTATTTCTAGGTCAGTATAGGGTACTGATTCTTAATGATTTAAGGTATGTTTATTTAAATTAATATGTTTTCTTGATATAGTACCTAGTCAATCTCAGTTGTTCCTTAGGAATAAAAACAGGATTTTGCAGTATGTAGGCAGAAGGTAGGTGAGTGTGTTTGCTTTGGTTTGAAGCTTAAATTTGGACTACTTTTTAAATAAGTCAAATTGTTAAAGTGATTGGCAAAAGGCAGTTTTATTAATACTGGAACTTTTTGGAGAGCACAGGACTATGAGGAGAATCCATCTTTTTTTTAAAAGACATTTCCAATATCTCTAAGGTACCAAAGCACCGAGTCTAATTCACCTTTTAAGGGAGACTCCTTAAAATCAAATTTATAACTAAGTCATACTAAAGATATATAATAGCTGAAGTTTTGGAGTAATTTATATTAAAAGCCACTAGTCTTTAAAAATGTCTGTGTATGAAATAAAAAAGATTTGGGCATCATTCCTTTTAAAGTATTTAAATTACCATAGCTTTACTGTATACTAGATCTATGACCTTTGTGTAAATCATCCATCACCTTTGGGCCTCTGTTGCCTTACTTAAAATACTTGTAACTTATTCCACCTACCTCACAGGGCTGTTGTGAGGACTAAAATGAGATGGAGTGTGTGAAATTACAGCTTCAACAACTGTAAAGTCCTATTTGTAAACGTAAGGTGTTATTTTTAGTTGCTGATGGATCTAAGTGTTTGGATACTTCTAAATGCCATTTATTTTGATAAAGCATGTTCTTAAAGTGGTATCATCAGTGATTTAAAATGTAATTCTAAAAATGAAACCTCCTGTATTAAAATGCCCTTTAATATTAATTTACATTGTGCATGACTTGTGGTCTTTTTATATTTTCTCATCAATTTCAAGAATTTCTAGAGCTGTAAAAGATCGCCCACAGCATTAAAGCTTGAGTGTAGAATAGCATAAATAAACAGATTAATTAAGCTACTTTTCCATCCAGGAATTTGCACTTTCAATTTAAGACTGTTTAGTGCCACATGCAAAGAGTGAATTTGGCCTAAATTTTTCCAGACTACCAAATGATTCAGCAGTTGTTGTCACTGGGTAAAATGATAATAAGGTATGCCTACTGAGCATTTGACAATGTTGTTGCCTTGTCTTTAAAAGAAAATAAAATGAAGCATTTCAAAACCTTCTAGGTTAACATATATCATTTAGTACCTCTCTTGATATATCTGTTGTTTTATGTTGGATTTATTTATTTTGGGTTTACAAGTTATCTTAATCTACAGATTTTGGTATGTATTATCTGGATATGATTTTACTATGCAGTTATAATAAAAATCCTAATTCCTCAGGTTTAACCTTTAAGCTATGGACAAGACCATTAATAAACTACTTCTGATATACCAAGTGCTGCAAAATAGTTTTTTAATGAGCACATTGCCTCACTTTTCTGAGAAACAATATGGAGCTTTTAAAATGGTTTTTTACTTTAAAATAGGGTATTCAAAATGGAGTAACTTGTATATTGAAATGATTGTATGTTCTGTATAGAATGCCCCAGTTAACCTGTATTATTTATACACCTGTATTATCTCATTGAAAAATTAAACTTTTTTCCTTGCTTTCTTTTGCTTCAGTGCTTAATATTCATCAACTTTTATTTAAAGATCTACAATGTGTTGTTGGGAATGAGAATATTTAAAAATTCATGGTACTTTTTGCCCAAGACATTATTAGAGCAGTGCTATTTAACAGAATTACATGAAATGATGGAAAGTTCTGTATTTGTCCTGTCTAATATGGTAGCCTCTAACCACAGGCAGCTACTGTGACAAATGTACTGAACAACTATATTTTTAATTTTAATTTAATTAAACACAAAGTAGTACATGTTGCTGGTAGCAACTGTTTTGCATAGTATAGCTCTAGAAGCTGTACTATGAACAAAAATGAAACCTGCTGTATATAACTAATTAGGAATTTCTATCTTTAAAGTCTGTCACATCTTGGGTTGCATTTTGGTAGATGGTAACTAAGAGTCAGAATCAGAGCCTAAATAAACCTGTTTAAAAATTAGTATTCTAATTTGAAGCAAGTTTAGGAGAAAAAAGAATATCAACCAATGACTAAGTGAGATTGTATCTCTCATTTCTGAGATCTTTTTCACCAGAGAAGGATGAAAGGAAACTGGATAATCTTGTGTTATGGGAAGAGGAATGTGACAAAGGTACTGGGAAAGGAGTACCCTTATATAGAAGGACTAGGTAAGGGTGCAACTTTTCTGGAGAATAATTTAACAATGTCAAGATTTTAAATCCACATAACCTTGAAAAGTTAATTCCTTTTCTAAGTATTTCTTTTACATATAAATTCACAAATAAGCCAACATTCACTATAGTATTACAATAGTAAAATAAAAGCAATCTGACTACTAATTGAAGAAAGACAAATCTGGATGACCCTGGAGGCAAATATCTTTTCCTTTTGTGGTTGTTAGGCAAAGAACTGGCCTGACAGCTCTGAGCTACCTCAATAAATGAATATACAACCAGAATTTTGAAGGTTCACTTTATAACTTGCTGCATCAGCAAGCTACCGTTGTCATGTAGTGGGGTGGATACATTCTATACACACACACATACACACACACACAAAGGAAATGTTATAAATATAGGCCTGTTCCCAGCTATTCAGGAGGTGGGTATCAGGAGTATCAAGGTTTGAGGCCAGTCCAGGCAAAAAGAGATCCCATCTCAACTAACAAGCTGGGTGTGGTAGTGTGTGTTTGTGGTCCCAGGTAAGCAGAAGGCATAGGTAACTGCCTCAGGCAAGAAATGAAACATCCTCTCTGAAAAATATCTCCAAGCAAAAAAAGGGCTGGGGGCATGGCTCAGGGGCCACAGCACCTAACTAGTAAGCAAGTTTTTGAGTTCAAACCTCAGTACCACCAATAAAAAACAATTGTGGGAGTTGGTGTCCTCAATTGGAGCTTTTTCGGTGGTATGCCAGCCCTGGCTGGGATCTCTGTAGGACAAGAGCTTGGGAAATCAGGTGCATTTCTACTTTTCTGTCCAATTTTCCTTATTTATACTACATGGTAATAATAGTATATTTATGCCAATTATGGACAAGGTCACCACAAGAGAGACTGATTATGGGGCTTCCATGTAACCCTTCACAGCTAGTAAAATATTTGTTATCAATGAAAGGACATTTTATTTGGTGGTTAGGTCCTAGCTTCTTAGACTTAAAATGTCAGGCTTGGTATCTATTACTGTTGCTCCAAAACCCACTTGCATGCACACACCTGAGTGACTTTTGAAAGATGGATGCTTTACTTGTAAAAGAGGCTGTTTTTACTCATCTTTGTACCCTGTTTCCAACCCAATTAAACATACTGATTTTTACAGTGAGCTGGTCTCAACAGCTGAACCTCTGGTATGCTTGAGCAGTATTTTTGTCATCAGTAGACTTGTATGTTTACCTTGTTAGCTGTTTGTTCCTAAGTCTGTTTATGCCAGTGGCAGTCATTGTTATATAATTTAAATATATGAACCAGTGGGAAGAAGGTGTAAAGTTACTTATAAGAAAAGTGAGAAACTTTAGAGATAAAGAGCTTAAAAAAAGTTGCTGACAGGTTATATCCAACATAATTATAAATGATAGAGGAAAATTACACCCCCAGAAAATCAGGACCTCAAATTCAAGTTCCTTCCTTTGTATCTTTAAGAAAAACTATGAGCTCCAAACTTAAAAAACCTAGCTCAAATCAAAAGATTGTCTAGAGTAATCCTCTACTTTAACTACCTTTTTATAGGTTGGTAGAGAATGAGATTTGCTATATACTTGAAAAGTACTCACTTCTAAAAAAGACTGGTAATTTTTTTCTTTTCTAGTTACTTTTGTAATTTTGAAAAAGACAGAAAAGTAGAGTGGGCTCACTTCTGTAATCCTAGCTACTTGGGAGGCAAAGATTTGGAGGATCATGGTTCCAAACCAGCCAGCAGCAAATAGTTCTCAAGACCCTATTCTCAAAAAAATCCATACATAAAAAGGGCTAGCAGAGTGGCTGAAGCCATAAGAGTGCCTGCCTAGCAAGTGTGAGGCCCTCAATTCAAACCCCGGTGCTGCCAAAAATAAAAAGCATGATCAGTTTATGCTCATCACTTAGATTTATCAGTTAACTATTTGCCATATTTGTGTTGCCTGTTTTTTTAGATTTCACCTGCAAGTACTGCAGTATGCCTGAATGATGACTTAAAAAAAAAAAAAACCAAAACAGCCACATTCCATTAAAATTTTTAGAAAAAATAGTAAATCTTTACTATCGTCTAATGTCTCAGTCCATACTAACATTTCGGTTATTTCAAATTATCCTTTTATGGTTGGCTTACTCATATTAGGATCCAGACATGTTGCATTTGATTAAGTTTCTGATTTTGTAGTAGTGTTCCCCTTAAATGTTTTTAAATGACATTGATATCAGAAACTGGGATGTTGGTTTTGTAGAATGTACTACAATCTGAAATTAGCTGATTGCTTCGCTATACCCTGTGCTAGAGATCAAGAGTTTTGATTAAATGCAACTTCATGAGCAATACTGACAGCAGCTATCTCCCACTCTATGCCCGGTCTTAACTAATGCTGCCCAAACCGCAAATCAGGGAGCTATTCTGAATCCCATTCTGCTTGGCACATGCACCGAAAAACTTATTCGCTGTTCATCTGACGATTACATTAAGCTGTTATTCTGGATTGTGTCTGGCGAACTCTCACACTTGGGGCAAACAGCTCAGCTGGTGTCTCTTCAATTCATCGTCCACTGAAAGGTTTTCCTAAAATCTCAGGTTGCCTCGTGCTCTTCTGTACTTATTAGGTAAGCAACGGATGAAAGAGCTTTGGCTAACTGACTAGAAAAAAAAAAAAGGATTAACTTGGGGAGGTGCAGTAGCAAGAGCTGTAGACAAGCTGAGACTAGGTCCGGACCAGGAACATCAGCACCATCCGGGCCAGTGTCCGCGGCTCTGCACTTGACGGCCGCTTTTGCGGCAGTTGCTGTGACTGCCGTAAAGCAGAGTTGCCGCCGCCGCCGCCGCGCTCTGTGATTGGACTTCGGCCGGCGCCTTCTGACGGGTCTCGCCAGAAGCTCGGGTGACCTCACCAGGCGTCTCCCAGTCTTCTGGGCACCCAGGCTCGGTAGCTCCCAGGCCCTGGCCAGTTCTTCCCACGCTCCCGGGCGTATCAGCAGGTAACAGCCTCATCCTGAGACAAATGGAGGTTTGTAGGGTGATTGAGACGCCTACAGGAAGCGGATTAGGATAGGGACATTTGAGCGAGTCATCTGCATGCACCGGAGGAATGAGCTCGCGGGGAGGCCAGGCCGGAATGTGACGCCAGCTAAGGTTGGGTCCCAGCGGGGGAGGACTTGATGCCTGCGAGGAAGGGAGAAGTTCTGTGGGCAGTAGGGAGCTGCAGCCGCTTTACAGAGAAGGCGCTTCCCCGGGCTCAGCTTCCCATCCTTTCGGAGGAGAATACTGAGCACCCCTTTGTGTGTTACAGATAAGGTCACACTGCGAGCCTTGGTAAATAAAGTTCCATATGGCTTTGGGGCCTGCCTTTCGTTTGCATTGTCACTTGGGAGAGGACGGGAAAGATGGGATATGCATAGACGTGACTGTTAGACGCTTTGCCTAGGAGCCAGAGAAACAAACGCGGATTTCATCCCCATCGCCCATTTCTCAAGAAGCATGAGACAAGCCGCTGTTCTTTGGACCCGTTTTGTTTTCTCAGGTGTAAAAAGAGGACCTAAATGATAGTCCAGACTTTTTGTCTTTTGAAGATTTCCAGTGACTAAAAATCAACCTATGAACAAATATTCAAGTGAGAGATAGAGCAGTAGTTTAGGAATTGGGAAAAGAGGGGATCCCAGAAGAAAAGGCTGTGATTGAATTGAGCTGGACTCTGAGGAGGAATAGGGTTTTTTTTTTTTTTTTCATTTTTCTTTTATTATATGTGCATACAAGGCTTGGTTCATTTCTCCCCCCTGCCCCCACCCCCTCCCTTACCACCCACTCCGCCCCCTCCCTCTCCCCCCCACCCCCTCAATACCCAGCAGAAACTATTTTGCCCTTATTTCTAATTTTGTTGTAGGGAGAGTATAAGCAATAATAGGAAGGAACAAGGGTTTTTGCTGGTTGAGATAAGGATAGCTATATAGGGCATTGACTCACATTGATTTCCCGTGTGCATGTGTGTTACCTTCTAGGTTAATTCTTTTTATCTAACCTTTTCTCTAGTACCTGTTCAGGAATAGGGTTTGAATGGTTAGGAACCATCTCTGGGCGAGCATCATGTTAAAGATATAAACATTAGTGATAGCATTCATATTTTAGTGTCTATTTGTAGGGATATATTTAGTGAGAGTAGATGATTTGAGGATAGAAATGAATGGTAAAGGGACTCTAAGTGGAAGGAAAGTGCAATGCTGTAAGAGGGAAGAAAATGAGGGAAATGTCAGAACAGGACTTGATTTCTGGATCTACATGGTTGATACTTTGAACATGGTTTTGACAAAAAAGAAAAAGGGAATTCTACTGAATTCCAACATATGTTAGTGTGGGGGGAGTAAAACAATTCAGGTTATAGCTCTGGTGTTGTTGAAAAGTCTGTAAGGATGGAGAGCTTTCTTCTGGAGGAGGAAAGGAAGATAGCTCATTTTGAACTTTAAATTTGAGATGTAAGAAATAGAGTTGAAAATACAGGCAGTGAGAACACAGACTGAAATTTAAATGGTAAGTTTTCTTTTTGAGGTGAGAGTTAAAAATCTTTAGAATGGGTTTGCTTTGAGGAGAGATTGTAGGAAGAGGAACTTACAGGATGTACCCACAGATACGAGGCTAGAAAGAAATTGTTGAAGGAGGCATATAGATCTTGGATCTAAGAGTAAGGACTCCTTTTAGAAAACAATATAGTCATAGATTATAGGTAGCCAATTGTTACTGAAATTATTAATAATTTACAACAAATATTAAGCACCACTTTGGAACTCTAGCAGAATATAATTCAAATAGATAAAAATTTCCACTGCCTGTATGATTGTCTACACAGAAGCAATATCATTTACATATTTATCAACAAATATGTTTTTCAGTTACTATGTGTGACACACACCTGTCATCCCAACTACATGGGAGACATAAGTTGGAGCATTTTAGCCCAGGCAAAAGCAAAAATGCTGATATGCTACCTAAAAAAACTAAAGCAAAAAAGGCTGGGGCATGATTCAAGTGGTAGGGCACCTGCCTAGCAAGCACAAGGCCCTGAGTTTAATGTATAGATCACTACTTTTCAAAGCTTAATATACATATCGATCACCTGAGGATTTTTGCTAAAATGTACACTATGAATCTGTTGATATGCGGTGAGACCTGAAAATTCTGTGTTTCTAACAAGTTCCAATATGATAAAATTTCTGTATTTCTAACAAGTTCCAACGTGATGCTGATATTGGTGGTCTGAGGGCCATGCTTTTATGTGACAAGGATCTAGATCATGACTAGCAAATGTGGCAGTTATTAAGCCACTTATTGTCTGTCATATGCTTTTCTTAAGATGAAAAATTTGCATTTGTTATTTATGCTCATTATAAGTATATTGGGGTAATTTAGAAAACCTTAAAAAACAATATAAAAGTAATCCCTGATTCCACCTGAAAACAATCATTGTTAAATTGGGGAACACCCATCTAGATTATATATGTATATATATTTGGTCTTTAAATGTTACGCTATATCCTTAATATACTCTGAACCCTGTGTCTGATTCTAGTAATCTTATAGTTTTACCCAATACCCAAATGTCCTCATAAAACAGTTAAGTACTTGCATTTTGAAAGGAAGATTTTACATACTTAAAAGTAGCTTGATTTAACATTATTCTGTAACTCCAAAAATGAGAAGATGTTAGCATAATTAAGGTTTATAACATGTGGGCTATTGTAAATGAATATTTGTTAATTGAGCTGTAGGATGAGAGAAGAATTTTTAAAGTTTTTTAATGAAAAAATTAATTGTATTCACATAAGACAAACAGTAATGAAAAAGAAAAGTCCCTATACTCCTTCCAGCCTAAAGACAATCCCACCTATCTTTACTTCCTTTCTGATCCAACCCCTCTTACCTAGGTCTTTGATTGCAGACAGTCTTTTCAAAACATCCTTATAGCATAGTCATTCAAAAAGGAGTCAAGATTTATGATTTTTCTGGAGTGTCAAACAGAGACTATTTTTTAAAAAATCTATTCTTAAGTTTCAGCATGTTGAGGTAGAGGTTATGTTGCTCTCCCTATGTTACTTTTAAATGCTTGAGACTTGGAACTAGGTTATAGGCTTTAAACTCAAAGACATTTTTCATATTCTGTTTTATGATAGCCCAGAGAACCTTCCTTTAAATAGTTTTATGCACTTGAGCATTGTGTGTTGTATTAGTATATTTAGCATGCTTGCTATTACTTGATATTAATTCAGCCAGTTTTAGGCTAGTGGGGGACATGAGTCATGCACACTAGTGGCTATAATTCAAATAGAAAGTAGTAAAAACCTTAAAAGTTAGTTGCCTTTTATGCTTTCTAGTGCTTGTGCTTCACCCTTCATAGCAATTATAATGTATTATTATTGTCTCTAGTTATCTCTAATTGAGTCTACACAAAATAGACTAGTGAGTCTTAATAAATGTGGAAGTCATAAGAGATGGGGCTTATGCATTTTGGAAAACTTCCTATCCTTTTTAGGTACATCACACCCTCCACCACCATCACTACTGCCTTTCCTCTTTTGAAAGCTCCCATGCACATCCTTAAACTCTCAGAAGATAGAGAACCATGTCATACCATTTTATCTCCTGTGCTTAGCATTGTGTGAGTGTGTGTTGAGGGGGCAGGGAATCTATAAGTACACAAAAACTGTTTCTTGTAAGAAGGTAAAACTTCCTTTAAAAGTAAGAATAATCACTTCTGACTTTGGAAGAGGATTGAAGACTATTTAAAAAAGGTACTTTGAGAGGCCCTATGAAAAGGACTGTTGTAAATTGGATTTATGGAAGTGGATGAGAACATTTCAGAAAAGAAAGTAGTAATGAGCAACAACACAGACACAGGAAAGCATGGGACATGTTCCAGGAGTACTTGAGCAAAAACTGTAAGTGTGAATTGGGAAAAAGGTTAGTAAGTTTGCCTGTATTCAGTCAAATTGTGAATACCCCCATATGGAACTTTATATGTAGGTGGTAGGAGACCATTGAAAAATTTTGGTTGTGGCATATGTTGATACACTTGTCAGCAAGCTTGCTTCATCTGTTAGTGTGTAAGAAGAACTATGGTTAAAGAAAAAGTGGAGACAGGGACATCAGTTACAATTAAAACATTAAGTGCAATTAAGGTCTAATTAGGATGACAGTGAAGGAAAAAAAAGGAAGATAATGCCAGAGACATTGTAGGTTATATCAACAAGCTTTGACCTCTTTTTAGAAATATCGTATTACTCATTTTTAAGTGGTTACTATCTTAATGAAAAGACAGTGTGATAGTACAAAGGAACTTGTAGACAGCGCTCTACCATTTGAGCAACACCTCCAGCCCAACAAGAAACATTTGACAAGTAATATTCCTCCTTGGTCACTGAATTACCTGGGCACTTAATAAAGTTAATTGGCCATCATCTTGATAAAAATATAAACTATTGATAATATGTTTTAGAGTTCTTTTTTCATATAAGAACCATGAACTAGAGATGTGTCCCCCCAAAAAGAACAGGATATTAATTTGGACTTTGTCTGTAGTAGTTTATAGAGGCCACTTAGTAGTTGGGCTTAGAAAAAGCTGAGTTATAGCACAATCTAATTACCACTAAATTATCAGGGAAACTAAAATATGACCTCAAAGCCAGACTGTCATTTGACAACTGTCTTTGAACAATACAAAAACTCAAGGTAAGTAGTAACTTAAATTCTTTTTGATAAACTACAAGAAGATAAAAATCAGTCACCCATAAATGATCAGAGATTATCAGCAATGGAATTGGCTAAGAACATTGTAGGAATAAGAATAAAGTAACAGATTCATCATTATGGAACAGAATAGAGCTATAACAAAGAAGAAATAACTAGTAACAGGATTAAAAGAGAAAAGAAGGCAGAAAGTGACATAAATATGCCACTTTCTTATTTTGTAACTGGAGAACAAAAGATATGCAAAGCCTGGACATCAAATAGTAGAGGTGTGAGTATATTTGAAGGAATAATGGTAAACACTAGAAGACCTAAATATAACATTTAAGCAAAACCAAATATTAGAGAAGAGATAGGAAGACGTATGTCTCTATTTAATTTCTTATTCTAAAGAAATAATCAGCAATGGGACCAAAGATGAACGAACAAAAATGTTTATCATGGCATTCTTTACACTTAAAGATACTGAGAACATGCTTGGGATATTTATGAAAACTTACAACATTCTAAATCATGCACACAAAAACCCTCAGAAAACAATGAAGAGCTATCATACTGACTATATTCCTTGACTGAAACTTTTGAAGTTTTCTCTGTGTTCTCAGTATGGTGAGCAGCGTCTCTAGGAACCTGGAGGAAATGCATGAGGTCCCAAGCTAGGTCTTCTGAATAGGAAACTTTGGAGAAGACCCTCTTCTAATCCCCCATTGGTCAGAATGTGCTGAGGAACTTTAGATAATTTTTTCTTTGCTGTTGCTGATGATTAGAGGTAATAATAATAATATAAGCTTTTTTCTCTTCAGAAATATCTCTTTGTTCACAGAAAACAAGATTATCTTCCTATCCAAAAAGATGAAAACAACTGGGTTACTGTCAAAAGACAACCAAGTGAACACCCCAGACTAATGAGTAGAATCAATAAGAACGTGATTTTGGCGCTTTTAACATTGACAAGTTCTGCGTTTCTGCTGTTTCAGTTGTACTATTACAAGCATTATTTGTCAGCAAAGGTAATTATTTTTCTTTATCATTAGACTTCATGTTAGCTTTACATTTTCTTTTTTTTTTTCTTTTTTCATTTTTCTTTTATTATTCATATGTACATACAAGACTTGGTTCATTTCTCCCCCCTGCCCCCACCCCCTCCCTTACCACCCACTCCGCCCCCTTCCTCTCCCCCCCCTCAATACCCAGCAGAAACTATTTTGCCCTTATCTCTAATTTTGTTGTAGAGAGAGTATAAGCAATAATAAGAAGGAACAAGTGTTTTTCTGGTTGAGATAAGGATAGCTATACAGGGAGTTGACTCACATTGATTTCCTGTGCATGTGTGTTACCTTCTAGGTTAATTCTTTTTGATCTCACCTTTTCTCTAGTACCTGTTCCCCTTTTCCTATTGGCCTCAGTTGCTTTAAGGTATCTGCTTTAGTTTCTCTGCGTTAAGGGCAACAAATGCTAGCTAGTTTTTTAGGTGTCTTACCTATCCTCACCCCTCGCTTGTGTGCTCTCGCTTTTATCATGTGCTCATAGTCCAATCCCCTTGTTGTGTTTGCCCTTGATCTAATGTCCGCATATGAGGGAGAACATACGATTTTTGGTCTTTTGGGCCAGGCTAACCTCACTCAGAATGATGTTCTCCAATTCCATCCATTTACCAATGAATGATAACATTTCGTTCTTCTTCATGGCTGCATAAAATTCCATTGTGTATAGATACCACATTTTCTTAATCCATTCATCAGTAAGTGGGGCATCTTGGCTGTTTCCATAACTTGGCTATTGTGAATAGTGCCACAATAAACATGGGTGTGCAGGTGCCTCTGGAGTAACCTGTGTCACAGTCTTTTGGATATATCCCCAAGAGTGGTATTACTGGATCAAATGGTAGATCCATGTCTAGCTTTTTAAGTAACCTCCAAATTTTTTTCCAGAGTGGTTGTACTAGTCTACATTCCCACTACTAGTTCTCCTTTGTAGTATATAAAATCAATTCTATTTTTTAATTTTTGTAGAAACATTTCTGAAGGATTATCGTCTTTGTGGGATGTGACAAGCAATTCAAAATTACAATGAATCCTGAGTTCAACCCTCAGTATTGCCAAAAAATAAAAAAATTACAGCCAGTGGCTCACGTCTGTAATCCTAACTACTTGTGAGGCTAAGACTGGGCAAATTGAGGTTCAAGCCCAGCCCAGGATAATACTTCACGAGATCCCATCTCCAAAATAACTAGAGCAAAATGGACTTGGAGGTGTGGCTCAGGCGCTGGGCACCTGCTTTGCAAATGCAAAGCCCTGTGTTCAAAGCCTAGTCCCACTAAAAAATTTTTTTAAAAAGTAAAATAGAAATGGTAAAAAAAATTACAGTCAAATGTTCATGTAATTGCATACTCAAGTTAGAAGTGCCAAGTTTCAGTGTTTAATCTATTGAAATTTTCTGGTATAGTTATATAAAAATATTCAACAGAAAATCCATTAGTTAAATGTATTTAGTGACAAGTAGTTTGTTTTACTATTGTGTATATTTTAATTTAGCATCTACCAGAGGAAGAGTAATCATATAAGTTACTTTATATGTGTAGGCATAAAGATGTAGAAATAATGATTTGGAAACTTAGTTGCTTCTTCTAGGAATAGTAAGTGCCTGCAGGACTGTTGAGAAGGACTGCAAAACTTTCCAGATTAGATTATCCTGATATCTATCATTGATTAGGGATGAAGGGATATTTGCTAATTTGGAGTTAAGGAAGGCCTATTTCTACTTATATTTAATTTAAGAGCATTACCAGAGAGTTCCTTTGGCCCTTGCTGGTTATATAAGGCTGGCTTTTCTATTATCCACTAGATTAATAAAATTAAAGATAAGGAACTAGTATTATTTTATCTATTGGATTTGCTAAAATTCTGTAGGTGGGTTATGGCTGACTCTTCAGAGGCAGAACAACCCTCCAGGTCTCTAAATTACAAACCCCTGCAGTGGAGTAGTCTTTTGAGCATTTTCTTGGGCCTCAGCTTTGAAGTACAGATGCTCTTCAATTTACAATGAGATTATGTCCTGATAAGCCCATCATAAGAAGCTGGAAATATTATAAGTCAAAAGTGCATTTAAAGCTGGGTGCTGGTGGCCCACATCTGTAATCCTAGCTACTCAGGAGGGAGAGATCAGGAAGATTGCAGTTTGAAACCAACCCAGGCAAATAGTTTGCAAGACCCTATCTAGAAAATACTCAACACAGAAAAGGGCTGAAGGGGTGGCTTTAGTGGTAGAGTGTCTGTCTAGCAAGCATGAGGCTCTGGGTTCAAACCTCAGTACCACCAAAGTGCATTTAATATGCCTAACCTACTGAACACTGTATATTAGCTTAGTGCTCTGTAGAGTATCAGTTGTATACCTCTGTGATCTGACTGACTGGCAGCTGTCCAGCATTGTGAGAGTACTCTAGCCCAGGAAAAGATAAAAAATCCAAATTTGAAGTACAGTTTCTACAGAATGAGTATTGCTTTCACCCCATTGTAAAGTCAAAAAATTGTGATAAGTTAGGGTCCATTCATAACTGGCTTACAGCTCATCAAAAAGGAAAAAAGATGTCTGTAAGACCCACTAGAAAATGTGTAACTGTTCCTCATTTTTTACTGCACCTAATAGGATAGTGGGTTTATAAATCTGTGTGCTTTTGCTTATTCAATCTGTACTTATTGATCACCCATTATACTCAGGGTACTTAGCAGGAAAACTGAGATAAATAGAATAAAAATCTTACTCTCAAAAATTTATAATTTGGCATCAGTGGATCATGCCTAGCTACTCAGGAGGCAAAGGTCAGGATTATTGTGGTTTGAAGTCAGCCCAAGGCAAATACTTTATGAGACCCTATCTTGAAAAAAATTCTTCACCGAAAAAGGAGGGCTGGTGTTGTGGCTCAAGGTGTAGGCCCTGAGTTCAAGCCCCAGTACCTCAAAAAACAAAAAAAAACCCTCACAATTTGGTAGGTGTAGGAACAGCAGTAATTCCTCTTTCAGTTATTTGGCTTTCAGTTAGTCATTTCACTTTTTTGAGCTTCCATTTCTTTAAATGGGGCTACTAGCAACTTTGCTGTTGAAATAATACATGATGCATCTAACTTTAGTGTTTAATACAGAGTGGATGCTTAGAAGATGATAGCTGTTAATAGCTATGTTTCCTTGTCCTGTTAAGGTTTACATTATACTGAGATGAATAAAATTGAACTCAATTATTACAGTGTCCTTAGGAGCCTACATGTATCACCTTTTCATAAGTGAGTTAACTAGGATCCAGGCATATTAAGTTTGTTGCTCATGATTACCAAATGAAGGTCCTAAAACTTATGACTTCACTTATAGAACTACTCTGACATGTAAATGAAAATATATTCCAAATAATTCTTTTAAATTAATAAAAGAATATATATAAATGAGATGGCCTTAAGGAATGCAACAGAAAATAATAAGATTGATGCCTAAGTGGAGGGAAGACAAAGAAAAGTTTGTATAAAGCACTGAGTAATCCAAACCTTATATTCTTGACACCTGTGCCTGCAGATATTGGCTGTTCTTGTTACCTACAAGGTCACTTATAGGGTTGTATGCTAGGATAGCGTTGCATTATATTTAGTAATCTGTGTTTTGGATTGGAAGGAGGAATGACTTGAAAGATGAGTTTGTATTTCAAATTTGACAGTAATTATTTACAGTGAACAATTTTTTACACCATCATGAGAACTGGAAATTAATCTTTTATTCATTTAGGTCATGTGAAACAAAAGTTTTTGAAATTTTTTAATCAGTCACTTAGTAATTTTCCTTGATCTTTGACTATGGGGGGGCTCACTCCATTTTACTCTAAAGGAAAAAGGTCATTGCTGGAGGATGAATATTACATTTGGCAGTCTGGTCTAATATGGCAAGCTTTGATAAATACTAGTGTCCCTCTTCTCCTACCCTCTACTATTTTTGCCTTTACTGAGGAAAAAGGTGAAAGAATTTCTTGCATTAGAATGAAAAGATTTTTGAAATTTTTCCATTTATTCTCAGACTTTAGACTGTAGTTTTCAGGCCAAATAGCTGTAATAAACTCTTTAATAGACGCAGCTTCCTCACCATTGACGATCATATTTATGAGTTCAGTGGCTTAGGACTAAATAAAAGAGTGATGTTTCTACTAGAGGGAAAGGTGCTGAGAGGCAGAAGGCGAAGGCTACCTGGAGGGTATTATGGCTAGTGTTTCTGATTCTTAGGTTTGCTAATTTATAAAAAATTGAAAAAATCAGTTATTGAAGACTTTAAAATTTTTAAAAAAATAAGTACTACCATGTCATTTTACAGGGGTATGTTTAAAGATAATATGAGTTAAGAATTTAGAGTTTTAGTTCCTGTAAGAAACTGAGGGATACTGCCTGTAAAAAGTACCAGAATTTTTTCTTAGATCTTTACTTCCATTTCTACAGTGCTTTTTCTTTCATGGCGTATTTTAGCTTGACTCAGTTATCAGTGGAGTCTGTAGCCACCAGATTATTTCTACCAGCATCTTACTCTGCCTGTCCACTGACTTATTTATTTCCCTTAAATTTTCATTCCAAGTATCTCCCAGGCAATGTTTTGGAATAACTATAGTCTTTTTTCCTTTTTTAACCTATTGACTTTAACTGTATGGCCATTTTAGACCAGCCATTCATTTGTTGAGTATTTGTTGAAAACTTACAATACACCAAACACAATATTAGGCTGTGAAACAAAATGGTGAATGAAGTTCAATCATTGCTTTCCAGGAACTCACAAATTGGGGGGCTTTGAGGTTAAGAGAGATTAAGACACAAACAGAAGATATATAAGCAAATAATAGTATAATATTTCCTTTTTCAAAGCACATGTCATCAGTCTCCATTTTGAACACTTCAGTACTTAAGAACTCTTCTGTCCCTAGTGTGTCTAGTTTTGTTTAACCTGCTATTGTTAGTTATTTTTCCTTCTGAAGTACCAATATAACCAAGTTCTCCACATAGCATACCTGTGGAATAAGATATAAACTTCATAGCCCAGTATGTAGGATATTCTGTGTTTGCCTCTCCAGACCTTTCTTCATCATACTCTGTGACTTGGGAGGCTGACTTCCATGGACTGCATTAGCTGAGCTCCTTTGCCCTTTGGTTTCCAGTTGGGTTCAGCCAGTGGGAAACATCAGCTGGAGATTGGAGACTAGGAAGAAAAAGAGGTCAGGCTATTTATTCTCTTGGTTTTCTGTATGGTCATTTGTTACTGGTGACTGCATTCCCCCTATACGCTGCAGTTGGAGCCATGGGGTGCCAGTAGCTCTTCCTTTCTAGAGGCAGCCTGACCATTAAGATAATGAAATTTAAATTATAGGACCCCTCACTTCCTAGGCCCTCAGAAGGACTTAAGAGTATGTTTACAAAGCTACATAGTTTTATAACATTTGCAAAATATATTTTTGCATTATTTTTCTTACAAGGGGCTATTAAGATTGTATAATCTTAAGACCCTATAAAACTGCTTCTTCAATGGCCTTACCTAACTGTTCAAGCTTAGTTAATTATATGCAAAGTTTGCAGGAAATAAAAATTTCTAGATAACGTACTTGGGAGGGTATTACTGAATATTTCATGGACATCTTGTAGGATGAGTAGGAGTTCTCCAATGAAGTAGAAGGATGACAAGGCCATTACAAATAGAGGAAACAGCTTACTTAAAGAAAATTATCTATGTGGGTGTCTAGAAGAGGAGCATACTAGGCAGAAACCAAAGTAAGTACAAAGGTCTGGAGGCAGGAATGTTCCTGGCAGTTTTGAGAAGAGCACAGAGATTAATGTGGTGGCAGAGAAGAGAGATGGGGAGAATAACAGGTAAGACCAAGAGAGTTCCATGTTGTTGAGGGTCTTGTAAACCATTATAAGGACCTTGGGTCTTAGTCTCAGTAAGATTGTGAACCATAGGAAGGTTTTCAGTTGTTATGTGACATGATCTGACTTTTGTTTTAAAACAAGTAATTTGAAGAGTTAAAATGCTGTTTTTATAATTTACACAAAAGATAATGGCTTAGACAGGGGAGTTGGTGAGAAATGGAAAGTAGATCTATAAGCATATATTGATGGTTAGATATAGAATATGAAAGACAGAAGAGAGTCAAGGGAACTAATATTTTTGGCCTGGGTAATTGAAAGGGGGGAGTTACTGTTTACTGAGATGAGAAAGACTGGGAAGAAAAAGTTTGAGCAATGAAGAAGACCAAGAGGTTTTTTTGTACATGCCAAGTTTGAGGTATCTATTTGATATCCAAATTAAGAAGGCAAATGGACAATTGGATGTATAAGTCTGCAGTTCAAATGGTAGTATGAGTTGAAGTTTTAAGCAGATAGTAGTTAAAGCCATAAGACTAGATGAGATAGAAATAATTGAATATAGATTTGACTCAGAAAGAGAGCGAGAGAGAGAGAGACAGAGACAGAGAGAGAGAAGAGGAAAGAGGAAGAAGAATAAAGAGGAGAAGAGAAGAGGGAGGAAATGGGGATCTGAGCTTTGGAACCCTTCACCATGTCAGGAAAGTAGGAGGAGCAAACTAGTGAGACTAAGAAGGAGTAGTTAGAAATAGGAAACCTAGAAGTATGGGGATCCTGAGAGCCAAGTAAATGAAGTGTTTCAGTGAGGCAAATGTTATCTGCAATTCTTCGTAGATCAAATAAGACAAGAACTAATAACCTTTGGATTTAGCATGTGGAGGTCATTGGTGGTCTTGATGAATGCTTGGGAGAGTGAATTTCTGCTGAGTTCACAGGAGGAGAATTACTATTATTTTTTTTTTGAATAAGTTAAGATTATTTTTTTTTATTCATATGTGCATACAATGTTTGGGTCATTTCTTCCCCCTTCCCCCACCCCTTCCCTCTCCCCCCCCACCCCCTCAATACCCAGCAGAAACTATTTTGCCCTTATCTCTAATTTTGTTGAAGAGAGAGTATAAGCGATAATAGGAAGGAACAAGGGTTTTTGCTAGTTGAGATAAGGATACCTATACAGGGAGTTGACTCGCATTGATTTCCTATGCATGTGTGTTACCTTCTAGGTAAATTCTTCTTCATCTAACCTTTTCTCTAGTTCCTGGTCCACAGGAGGAGAATTAAAGGCAATGAGAACAGACCACCCATTAGGAGTTTTGCTATAAAGGGAGAAGGGGGCAGAAAATGTTGGCAAAAGAGCAGCCTTGAAGTTTTTGGTAGTTTTGTTTCTTGTTTTAACTATTTTTTAAGATGGAAGAAATAAATAATATCATGTTTGTATGCAGATGGGAATTATCCAGCAGAGGAAGAAAAAGTGACTTGGCAAAAGAGTATGGGGATGGCCTTAAATAGAAAAGTAGGGAGTTCATCTGTTAGGAAAGGAGGGAAGGCAGACTATATGGATGTAATTTGATTAGGTAAGAAGATGTAGTGGAAGCTCTTGAAAGTTATCTGTTTTTATTTTCTCTCAAGGAGAAAGAAAGCAATGCTATAAGCTGAAGGATAGCATAGGGAGAGGGTGTTGGAACAAGAAAACAGCAGAAAAGTCTTCAAGGAGAGTAAGAGAATTAACCGACAAGGGAAATGTAGGATAACTGCTCGGCAGACTTAAGACCTTACTTAATGAATTAATGTGATGCCTAAGCAGCCAAATTTAGCGGCAGCAGTTGCATGTTCAGAATAAGTAAAGAATTGGATTTGTTTATTTTTGAGATAAGGTCTCACTGTGTAGCCCAGACTGGCCTAGAACTCACAGTCCTCCTGTCTCAGTCTCCCAAATGCTGGGATTACAGTGTGCAGCATCATGCCTGGCTGAGAGTTGGATTTTTGCTAAGAAAGTAAAACGAAGTGAAATATAGGTGAATTCACTAGAAATTTATTTATCCTAAACTCAATAAACTAAATAGCTCAGAACTTCAGTCTTTTTTTTTTTTTTTTTTTAACTAATGAAGAGCTACAGGGAGTAACAAATGGGTGTAGTACAGAATTTGCAATCTCATTTCAGGATTGAAGATTGAAAAGCTGCCTCTTTATTATTGTTTTTTTTTTCCTTAAATAACATTTGTAAGAAAATGTTATTGTCTGAATTAGAGAGCTTGTGATGAGACAGCAATTCTGACTGTACCTTAATTACTCAGTATATTCATCTGTCTCTGTCTCCTTTCCCCTTCAATTAGCAAACTCTTATTAAGCATTTACTACTTAACCAAGCACTATGCTAGGCACTGGTAATACAAAAATGGATTGGTCTTGGCCTCTGCCCTTGAGTGTGCAGTGGTTTAGTGAGAAGATGAGTTTTCTTTGAGCACATTTCATTTTGAAGTTGAGGCTACTCTAATTGTTCTTCAGTTCATTTATAGCTTATAGATAAAGAACACATTGAAAGTGTGAAAGGGGGAAAGGAAATAAAGGAGAATGATGGAGGAGGTGAATTCAACTATGATATATTTTAAGAACTTTTGTGAATGACACAATATACCCCAGTATCCCAGTACAGTGTAACACAGTACAACAATAATATGATTTTATATACATATATATATGTATGTGTGTATAATAAAAAAAATATGGTAAGCTTCTTTGAACTTGAAACATTCTTTCTCTTGTTTTTAGATTAGCAGACATTCTTTCTCCTATTACTCTTAAAGTTATATTTTAAGAACTTTTGTGAATGACACAATATACCCCAGTATCCCAGTACAGTGTAACACAGTACAACAATAATATGATTTTATATACATATATATATGTATGTGTGTATAATAAAAAAAATATGGTAAGCTTCTTTGAACTTGAAACATTCTTTCTCTTGTTTTTCTTTTGTCTTTTGGGACCTGATTATTTTTTTAAGTAACAACTCTTAAAATTGACATTATGACATATGCTGGCGTAGACAAGGGTATACAGTTCATAGCTGGAACAATGTCAAACACGTACCTGACACTCTAGAACTGTTCAAGTAAATATTACTCTTTTCCTACCAATCTTGCCAAAGATCTCTGAACACTAATTCAGTGTGTGGAGGTAAACTGAGGTTAGGAGTATGGCGCTAAATGGACACACCCTAGTTCTAGAGAGAGAGCAGAGGGTTTACTGTTCATTGACACATATTAATTGGTTCAGGATATATATGACTATATACATATATAGAGAGAGAGCTAACTTACTGCAGTCCATCAGTGGTTTACATCTTGGGTTGCTGTATTATAAAGTTATAGAATTCTTAGCTCTTGACTTTATGAAAATAACTTTTGGATAATGCTTTTTAATGACTCTGAGATAATTTTATAGTTTGACTTTCATATTCACCCTAACTGTAATGGTATATTCAGGGCTTTGAATTTCCTAAAGTATTCTTTTGTTATCTTCCTAGAATGGAGCTGTTTATCAAAATCTAGAGGAAGCAAGATTGGATTTGATAGCACACAGTGGGTATGTACAGTAAATAAGAAATTCTTTAGTTATGATGTTCATTTAGTTCATGTGTTTATGTACTTCTTAACTATTTGTGTAATAAAGACAATGACAATAGTCACCTTGGAGATAGGTTAGATAGAGGCAAGGAAGGAGCAGGCCCCACCAAGTGCTTTACATGGAGTATCTCATTTAGTTCTTTATAGAAACCTTAAGAAGTCAGCTGAGTATGGTGGCTCGAGTCTGTAATCCTAGCTATTTCAGCCTGGGCAAAAAGTGCATGAGACCCTATCTCAACTAGTGGCTGGGTGTGGTGGTACATACCTGTCATCCCAGCTACACAGGGAAGCATAAATAGAAGGATGGTGGTCTACGCAGGCCTGAGCAAAGCAAGACCCTATCTCAAAAATGACCAATGCAGCTGGGTGCTGGTAGCTCACACCTGTAATCCTAGCTACTCAGGAGACAGAGATCAGGAGGATCATGGTTTGAAGCCAGCCCTGGGCAAATAGTTTGTGAGACCCTATCTTGAAAAAACCCATCAGGAAAAAAGGCTGGTGGAGTGACTCAAGATGTAGGCCCTGAGTTCAAACCACAGCACCGCAAAAAAATAAATGTAAAAAAGGGCTGACCGAGTGGCTAAAGTGGTAGAGTGCCTGCCTAGTAAGTACAAGGCCCTGAATTCAATGCCCAGTTCTGCCCACCCCCGCAAAAAGAAACCTTAAGAAGTCAGTATATATTGTTATTTTCAATTTGCTTAGAGAGATTAAGGTTAGTTGGCTCATGTCTGAGTCCTGATTCTCACTGTCTACCTTTATGACTTTTATTCACTAAACTATTATGCTTCCCCAAAATGAATGAATATGTGAACCAGAATTGAACTATGAATATAAGGGAAGATTAACGATCAGGAATAAAAACCTATTCAATATGTTACCTTTATAAGATGAAGAAAACTAACATTTATCCTGACCATATATTTTGTGTTGATATCAGGCTTCTTTGTAATCAGAGATGTGGAAGGCTAAAGAGTCGCCAAAATTTTAAGTCATTGCTGACACTAGCTGTTTAAAAGTAAAGTTTGTTTGGACATGATGACCCACACCTGTAATTACAACTACTCAAGAGGCAGAGATTGGTTTGAGGCCAGCCAGGGCAAAAAGTTAACCACCTCTAACTCAACCAACAAGCCTGGTAGTGCACATCTGTGATCCCAGTTACACAGGAGGCTTAAGTGGTAAAGAGCTTGCCTAAGTAGTGCAAGGTCCTGAGTTCAAACCCCAGTAATAGTACAATAAATAAATAAAAGTTTGCACATCCTGTTATCAGACTTCTTTGTTATCTAGTCTGGAAATATCAATGTGAACTTTAATTTGTTCAAAATAGCAAACGTTTTCCTTTGTGTATTTAGGGTGGTGTGAAGGGAAAGGAGAGCATCATATTCTTGGGTTTTATATTACCTAGTCACAGTTGAACTGAGAGCATTTAGGAAAGAAAAGGATGATAATTAGAATCCAGCCTTTTACTAAGAGCAAGGCCTATCAAACCCTTTTAGATTTGATAACATTTTTAATACCAGTAGATGGTCAGCATATCCTATATTCAACATGACATTTTTCTTTCTCATGAACTAAATGAATTACTGAAGGGCAGATGATAATAGTGTTGATTTAGAATTAATTGGATTCACAATCAGTTGGTCACCTGTTCCCAAGGAGCATTAATGATAGCATTGATAATGACCTAGAAGTTACATTTAGAAGATGAATTATAAAATCTTTCTTTGATCCTTCCTTAATCAATATTTATATTAATAACTGTAATGAAACCATAATGTGTTCATCATATTTGTGTTTATCAAACATTTAAGCACCTTAGATCATTTCTCTTTTATTTTCTAGATACAAGCACAGAAAGCATTAATTCTAAAAGAAAAAAATTAATAAAAGTAGACTATCAAAATGTAAAGCTTCTACTCACTAAGACACTATTAAAAAAGTGAAAGGACATGCATGTTTATTCATGCAATAAACACTACTTGGTCAAACTATTTTTTTGTTTTTTTAAAAATTACTGGAATTGATTTTCTAATATTTTAATCATTTTTGCATCTATATTCATGAGGGATGGTGATTAGTAATTTTCTTACTTTTGTAATGTCTTGTTAGGTTTAGCTAATTAGTATTATACTGGCCTCATAAAATCATTTAGGATATAATTCCCTTCTCAGTTTTCTGAGTTTTTGTAGAATTGCTATCCTTCCTAAAAACTTTGATAGAATTTGCCAGTGAAGTATGAGTCTGGAACTTTTCTTGTACTTTTTAGGGCAGCTTTTTTTTTTCTGAAGATAATAAAGAATGATTTATTAGGAAAGCAAAAGTACACCTCGAGGTATGAGGCAGGCAGTTAAGTAAGAATCAACTGCCTAAACAGGAACAGCACCCCTCAAGGGGTAAGGAGGGCAGATGGATAAGAACCAAATGCCCATTTTTTGGTTTTGTTTTAATAACAGATTCAGTTTCTCTAATAGGTCTGGGGCAATTAAGATTTCCTATCATCTTGTGGTAGTTTTATTAACATTTGTCTTATTTTATCTAAGTTGCTGAACTTTTTGGTATAATGTTTATTCTTTTTCTTTAGCTAAGAGGAAAAAGAATATTCCACTAAGAGGTATTAAATTTCACTATATGTGGGAATGATCAAGCAGGTAATTTATTTTGGTCTGATTCTCTTGCTGAGAAAGATTACTAAGCAGCATTTATAAATATGAAGAAAAGTAGCATATCCAATTAATTTTTGTTTTTGAAAGGTTAACATTACTGATTTTTAAAAAGTGACAGATCTGCATTTCCTCACTCACTTTTGCTTGAAAAGATTTAGCTAATACAAGAGAATAATTTTTAAATGCAGTTTTCTTCTCAGATACCACTTCCTCTGTGAAGATTTCCTTTTTAGATGTTAACTAGTAGCCTGCTCTTCTGTACTGTGTGTTTTTATTGTAGTACATTTTACCTTGTGTTACAATCATTCATCTTTTCTGGAATTACATTTATTGAAGGAAGAACCATATGTGTAGTGGAATGATAACCATGCTATCTATTGTATAAACTCTATATACATTCTTATAAAATTAATAAACAAAAATTTAACAAAGTAAGTTATTGTATTGGTTTATTGGTATTAAGGTGATGTTTTTGCTTCAAACAGCGTGCAGTTAAAAAATTTATTACGCTAACATCCAGCCAAAATGTACCAGTGTTCCTTATTGATCCTTCTGTTCTGGAATTGATTAATAAAAACTTGGAATATGTCAAAAATATTTCTCATGGCTCCACTTCAGAATGCAAGTTTTTCTGTGTCCCAAGAGAGTTTACTGCATTTGCACTGCAATATCACCTGTGGAAGAATGAGGTAGGTCGATTGCTTCTGATAATGGAATATGTATCTTACATAACAGTATGGAATTAAGCCAGTTTAAGATGTAAAACATTTAATATTTTTCTTAAAACTTTCATACTATCAGGAATATTTTCAGCTATAAGAAACAACACAGTAATAGCTAAAGCAGATTCCTGTCTTTTCTTATAAAACAAGGTTACAGGATTGATATCTGTTAGTGTTAGTTTAACTGCCCACTGATATTAAAGCTGAAGTTCTTTATTCATTTACTTCATCATTGTAAAATAGCTGTCATAACTCCAAGTATCACATCCATGTTCAAGATAAGAAGGGAGGAAAGAATGTAACATCCATCTTTTGAAGGGAAATTTTTCTCAGAAGCTTCTGGTAAACTGCTGTTTATATCTCACTGCTCAAAACTATAATTACATGTCTCCTAGTTGTGAGGGAGGGCTAAATACAAGAATTTCACATCTCCAATAATGGAGGAAGGGATTGGATGATGAATTTCAGTGTATGTTGCATAAGGTAGACATTTAAGAATAGTATCTTGGTCCAATGCATTCTTCTCATTTTGTAACTGCACAGTACTTGTTTTGGGTGGGGTTTTTTTTGCACAATATTTGTTTGATACTTGAGTAGAATGTTTTTTAGATGTGTCTAAAAATTCAAACTTATATTTCCATCCTGCTTTATGATTTCATGGCCAAAGTCAGACAGTAGTCAAAAAAAAGTGTCAGCCAAGCATACCAAAATGTTGCTTATTTATTTAGAATATTTTTACCATAGTTTGGATATTGTTTAAATGTATCCCCCAAAAATTAATGTGTTGGAAACCTGGTCCCAACTGTAGGGGGATGTAGAGTATTTATGTGGTAGATTCTGGTGGGGAAGGTTCTTGCCTTTGAAAGAGATTAAGGTAGTTCTTCTAAAACCCTGAATTAGTTCCCAAAAGAATTTTGTTATAAAAAGAGTAAGTCTGACCCCACCCACCTCTCTGACGTCTTTTTTCAAGATGTGATCTCTTTTCTTTAACATACATTCCTGTTTTTCGTCATTGAACCCTCATCAGAGCTATGCTGTTTTGACTTCAGCCTCCACATCTATAAGCTAAATAAACCTCTTTCCTTTGTAAAGTTGGCCTACTTCAGGTATTTTATATGACAATACAAAACAGACTATTCAACCTTTAATTTCCTAACTTCACTATTTTTCATTCCTATTTTTAATTTTTTATATAATTAAAAAATGAGTATTAGATTAAATGAGCATAACTAGATAGTCAGCCACCCAAGATAGATGTGCAGTAGTTCTACCATGGGATCTGTTTTAGTTGTATTGAACCCTTGTAGGTGGGGTTCACCTTCCAGAGTGGTATGATGGCCCAGGAAAGCAGTATAAACTGCAGTTCCCTTGATTGACCCCACACTCTTATGCAGGGCATGGAGAATGAAACTAACTTGTCTTGAGCTAATGGTTCTTTCCAGACAGTGATGGAGATGATAAAAACAGATGAATTATTTTTATGTACATGGTCTTTGTTTATGTGCTGACTTTTTCTCCTCATTTTACATTTTGAAAATGTTAAATTTATAAGGAAGTTAGACCTTGATTTTTAAATTTAGTTTTTATTTTTAGCAAAATGATACTAGTACTAAGTTTAAAAAGTCACATAGTAAAGCAAATCTCAATAAAGAAGAGTAGTGTCTTCTTTTCCCACCTTTTAGTCCCACTCCTAGTTCCCACCACTTTTAACTCTTTCTGCCTTTTTCTCACTTATAAATGTTTGCATTTCTGTTGTTAATATGTGATTTTGATGTTGAATTATAAGAATTTAGCTCTTATATTAGCTTAATCTCTAGTGAATACACACCACACACACACACAACACACACACATACACCTCCCATCATCACACCGAATGAATGCATTTTGTAGTTAAATGAATAATCAATATTTACCTTCTTTTTTTTCTTTTTTCTTTTTTTGGCAAAACTGGGGTTTGAATTCAGGGCTTCATGCTTGCAAGCAGGTACCCTAGCGCTTGAGCCACACCTCCAAGCCCAGTATGTATTTTCTTATGAGTGTGTAGGTGTCCACATGGAAGCTAACTACTCTGGTTAGATGCCTTTTTTCATGACTCCATTCTCCTTTATTGTTTGCTACTATATATATATATTTTTATATATATATATATATATTATATATATATATATAAAATTCAGCTATGAACTTTGCAACAGAAACATTAAAAAACTCTCAGCAAGATCTGTAATCCCTGTTTCTTTTTTTTCTTGGAGACATTCCTCCTGAAGCTCTTGGTCTTTTTGCTCTAACAGAGTCTGCTGTACCCATATTGTTCTGGAACTCCCCTTCATAGCATTGTAGAAAACCCTTTCATTTTTCCTGTGTTAAAAACACCTGTTTTTTAAGATTTTTTGGTTTGCTTTTAATCATTCCAAGGAAGCACATTCTTCCATAATCTCCTGAGAAAGACTGAAATCTTGTATATCTGAAAATATTTGTTTGACCTTTACCTTTGATTTTTAGTTTAATTTATACATCATTTGGCTTCTACTTACTATGTAACAAATGACTCCAGAAATTTACTGTATGAAAACAACTGTTGGTTTAGGTCATGATTCTGTGATTTAGCAATTTGGGTGGGATTAGCTGGGCAGTTCTGATCTCAGCTAAGCTACCTTACGTAGCTGCTTCTTTAGGGCAGACTAAATTATCATTATTGTAGTTAGGTAAAAATGCTGTTGGCTTTTGTATTTAGATCTCGTTTTCCAGCTATTGTATTGAACTCAAAAGGTACACTGTAGTAGTTTATTCTCTCTCTCTCTTTCTCTCTCTGTCTCTCTCTCTCCATCCCTCCCTCCTTCCATCCCTCCTCTTTCTCCCTCTCTCCTCCCTCCTCTCCCCCTCCCCCCCCAACTCTCCTCCTTCTCCTCCCTTGTTCTTTCTGAATATAGATCAGTGTATTATTTGTACAAAAAGACAATTTTGTCTCTTCTTTTCTGACTCTGACTCCTAATTTGTTTTTGTTTCCTTTTTAAAAAAAACTGATTTAGGTAGGGCACCTAGCAATTGCATTGAAAGCAAGTATTCTTTTATGAATGATGGACTTAAAAATTGATCTTATTTTGTTATTTTTGCTCTATTACTTTCTCTGTTTTCAACTGTTTGATTTTTTTAAAAAAAATCATTAACTGCCATTGTTTTTTATCATATCTTATTTGAAATTTTCTTTCTTTTTTATTTAGTTATTTACTTATTTTGTAGGACTGAGATTGAACTCAGAGTCTCCTGCTTACTAGGCAAATACTCTACCACTTGAGCCATACCCCAAGTCCTTTTGCTTTTAGTTTGTGTCTCAGATAGGGTCTTGTGCTAACTTTTGCCTGGACTGAACTGTGATCCTCTTACCTTTGCCTCCCAAGTAGCTGGAGTTACAGGCATGCACTGCCATGCCTAGCCCTCATATTTTTATTTTCTAAAAAATTCTTGTACTCTGTTCCTTCTTATAGCATTCTGTTCTTACTTCATGGGAACAATTTTATCTTTATTGCTGTATGGATATTAAAGTTTTGGTTTTCTAAAAAGTCTTTTTCTCTTTGCATTTCGTTTTGCTAAATCCCTTCCTTTTGGATGTTTATTTTGTGATATATTTGTTTATTTTTTTGTGTGATTTTTAGTATACAGGTTTTCTATAATGTTTGTTGATCTCGGTTCATATTTAAGAACAAGAGACTGAAAACCAATTAGAAGCATTTTTTTAATGGTTAGGCTTTATTAACTGGTGTTCCTACTTTTAGCATTTACTTTATAGAAATTAACCAGAGAACACTAAAATAAGCATTCTTATCTCAAGGAAGAAATGTGGCTTAATTTAGTTTTGATACTAGCTTTTAGTTTTAGATATTCAAGTTTGATCTTTGTTTGATTCTAGGAAGGTTGGTTTCGGATAGCTGAGAATATGGGATTTCAGTGCCTAAAGATTGAGAGCAAAGATCCTCGGCTAGATGGGATAGACTCACTTTCTGGAACTGAAATCCCCCTACACTATGTCTGTAGATTGTCCACTCATGCTATCCACTTGGTAGTCTTTCATGAGAGGAGTGGCAACTACCTCTGGCATGGCCATCTACGACTCAAAGGACACATCGACAGGAAATTTGTTCCTTTTCGAAAGCTACACTTCGGTCGTTATCCTGGAGCTTTTGACAGGTAAATTTAGAGCCAAAAGGGGAGATGTGTAATGAGTTTTGTCTAGTCATGAATTTTTAAACTTTTAACATTTTTAAGTGAAATCTAATATATAATTCGTGTGAATGTTCATAGTAACTTCGTTGGTAATGCTCCCATATTAAGAGCGATTCAAATATCCTTCAATAATAAAAGGATATATATTAACACACACACATATTTCATACAGTGAAGTATGAATACAGCAGGGAAATGAACGAGAGCACTGTGTATTAGCATGGGTGATTCCTACAATGTTGAATGACACAAACGAGGCTGAAAAGAAAAAAATATCACGATTACATTTACAGGAACTTCAAATACACGCTAAATTATGTTCATAGATATATACTGAGATAGTCTAAAATTATTAAGGATAGTGACGAAGCAGTACCAGAAAAAACAAAGTAGGAGTTTACCTCTTAGGGATGAGGGGGAGCAGTGATATGGTGACATATACAAAGAATTGCTAGGAAGTTGGTAAGATTCAATTTCTGTGGTGGAGACATGGCTTTTATAACATTATTTTGTGCCTGTGTGTTTTATCCACTTTCTTAATATATTTTTTTAAAACATGGCTGGTATGGTTGCTGACTGATATAATTCCAGCAGTTGGAAGGCCAAAGCAGGGGGAGTACAAGTTCAAGGACAGCCTGGGCTACATAGTAAGACCCTGCCATAGAAAAACCAAAACAAAACCAAAAAAATTTTTAAATACATAAGTAAACTATGTACAAAAGTATATCCTTAGCTATCACAATAATAGTAATGTTTCTTGCAAGAAATAGTTATTTGAAGGCACTCATGTAAAATCTGATTAGCTGTAAATTATATTTACAACTGCAGGATGAAAACAACATTATTGAAATTAGACAATGAGTATAAAGTTTTTAACCTAGAGTTATACTTTTCTTCCCCTTTTGAAATCAATAATGGTATTATAATCTGCTTGAAATACCAGATTCAGATGTGAAGGTAGAAGCAAACATTTGCCTTTTGAGCTGGGTGCCAGTGGCTCACGCCTATAATCATAGCTACTTAGGAGGCAGAGATCAGGAGGATCATGATTCAAAGCTAGCCCAGGCAAATAGTTCACAAAACCCTATCTCAAAAAAACCCCTCACAAAAAAAGGGCTGGTGGAGTGGCTCAAGGTGTAGGCCCTGAGTTCAAGCCCCAGTACTGAAAAAAAAAAAAATTCCCTTTTGCCTAAAGGTTTACCCTCCTTGTAAAAATTTTCATATTGATAACCTTTGTTGGCAACTTCCAACTTCCAGAGAGACAATGCTTATCTGTTACACTGGTAAGAGCATATTTATAAGCATATTTATTCTTGCCTTCTTATTAGTATTTAAAATCACATACTTGAGGAACAACTGAAAAAGATACTCAAAACTGGAGTCATCTATATTTTTCTGTGTATGTGAAGTCATACCTTTTGTAAACCAAACCAGGTTTTTAGGAATATAAATAACCAAAAAAAGAATAGGGTGTGGAGAAAAGTAGTTTGTTCTAAATGTTGGCTCTTATTATTTTACTCAAAATCTTAGCTACTGTTTCCTTACTACTTTTATGCATATTTTTCTTATTCTATATTTCAGATAAGTTTTTCTAGACAGGCACTATCTTTTAGGTTTTTTTTTTAAAGCCTCTTGAGTTTACTTCAAAGTTTAATGATTGAATTTATTTCAAAATTGTCATTCAACAAATACTTGTTAAGTGTAATGTATGCCATTAGACAAAAGGCATCTCTATATAATTTTATATAAAGAGGAATAGAGAACCCTCAAAGAATATTTATACAATGAGTTCCAAGTAGTTTGCCTGTTAATGAGACTCAGGTTATTGTAATTTACTTACTGTGTCTTAAGGATTAAAAAATTTGCTTAAAAGTAAATTGACAATCTAAAATGTCATTTAACTGTCCTTTGTGCTTAAAATGCCAAAGTGTATATGAGTAAAAATATTTTAAAGCACATTAGCCAAAATACTTAAAACTCATTTCCTATTTGATGGCAAATTTTCAAGATCTTCTTAAAGTTGCTAATTGATACCCAAGATAACTGAAGAAAATATATTTGGTGTTGAGCCATTTTGCTGATGTTTACTATTTTAAAAAGGCTGCTAGTGTTCTGGATTAAATCCTTATAATAAAGCTTAACTTTTGTTTTCAGGACAGAGTTACAGCAAGTTGCTGTTGATGGACTAGAAGTTCTCATTCCAAAAAATCCAGTGCACTTTCTAGAAGAAATACCACACTCTCGATTTATTGAGTGTAGGTATAAAGAAGCTCGAGCATTCTTTCAGGTAAGAGACAACCAAATAATGTGCTTTTTAAATTAAAGGACATGTTATGTAGTATTGGGGGGATGGATGTGAAGGGACTTATGAAAAATAGATAAAACATCTTTTTGGATTCATCTCTTTTCTTCTAGTTTGTTTTCTTTTAATTTTTTTAAAAAGTAGATTAAAAATTAAACTTAAAAAACTATTTCCACTGGACATAGTGGCATATACCTATAATCTCAACACTTAGGAGACTAAGTGGATATCAAGTTCTAGACAAGTCCGGGCTACTCAGTGAGACCCTGTCTCCAAAAACAACAGCAAGGCCAAGTGCCGGTGGCTAACACTTGTAATCCTAGCTACTCAGGAGCAGAGATCAGGAAGATCATAGTTTGAGGCCAGCCCAGGCAAATAATATGCCAGTCCCTATCGGGAAAATACCCAACACAAATAAAAAAACAGGCTGGCAGAGTAGCTCAAGTGGTAGAGCGCCTGTCTAGCAAGTGTGAGGCCCCTGAGTTCAAACTCCGCAGTACTACCAAAAACAACAACAAAAGTTGTAAAATTCTAATTCCTCCACAAGTGGATAAATTGATATTCATGGTTTCATTTGAGTAGACTTTGATAGGGTTAGCACTGGCCTCTGCCTTCAGTTATGATAATTCATAAACTTTATAAGAGATACTGAGTTCTCTTTTTGAATCCAAGTAAAAGAAAGCTATTGTAGAAAATAGACTTGTCAATTTAGACAAGACTTCATGGAAAATACAGTTTGTCTCAGAGGTTTGTCACTGAATATGAATTTTTGTGTTTATGAAGGTCTTTGAAGACAAATGCCATATAGAGATCAAGTGCTTTTTGAACTTTATTCTGCTGCTCTAGCTTTCAATTTAGTAAACATTTATTGAAATGTTTCCTAGACTTCTGACCCTGGGAATATAAAGATGATTTTGAAGGGTATGAAAATTTATCTCTTTAGATATGACATGAAGCCAGAAATATAGTGAAAACAGGCAAATTGACAGTGGGGTTTTGCTACTCCTTGCACTTGCCCTTTACTTTCTGGGATTCTCTACCAAAAAAGAAAAAAAACTGAATGCACGAGGGCAAGAACGGAATTGAAAAATGAAGTACCAGCTTTATTATTGCTACCAAGAGTCCAAGACTCATAAATACAAAACTCACATTTCTCTTGAATGGCATGCTGTCAACAAAGATATAGGCCTGACAGCCCAAGTGGGCCTTCCTTTAAATTTATAATTGTGGAACTAGAAAATTTCCTAAGTCTCATGGATAAGAAACTGGAAAACCACATGTGTGGATGAGTTTCCTCTAGTAGGCAAGTGTTGCCTGACATTTCCCCACCACGTGGTGGTAGGAAGTAGAAGAGATGGAGGTTGTTGATTAAACTTAATCACTCATTCTTTCTATCTTCAGGGCATTTGCTCTGTCATAGCAATTTTCACAGTGAGTAGTGGATGTGTATTTTATCCCCCTACTAAATTCTTCCTGATGACAGACATCTTACTTTATTCACCTCTGTAGCATCAGCATCTGTCACGGTACCTGGCACGAAGAAAAGATGCTGTGAATGTGGGGAAAGGCATGGACAATAAGGTGCCCATCTGAATCAAGTACTTTCCCAATGACACTTTTTAGAAGTTCTCTTGTCCTAACAAGGTTGGAGCTACCTAACAAGCCTTTGCCCAGATTCATTTGCCCTTCTTATTTGTGAAAAGGCATTATAAAATGCAAAATGTTTCAAAATACTAAGAAATCATGTGGATATTTTTTAATTCCATATATATATTTTTTACCTCTGGTTTTAAAATGTTAAGGACAGGTATTGAGTCAGCATCTGAGTAAAGGGTATGGATGAAACACGCTGATGCTTCTAATCAGCTATTGCCTCACAGTTCTTGTGTGTGAAGCACTGCAAATAACAAGACTAGAATGCTGTCTGGAGGTTTATATTCATAACATGATCAGGTGGAATTTTGTAGTCATGTTTTTTTTATATCCTTTACTTGCAGCAAAGTAGCTTTGTGATTCCTGATTTTTTTCTCTCCTGCTAATATATTGGTATTACTATTGCCAAGTGATTAATAGATTCGATAGGTTTTTTTAATCCTTATCCTCTTAAATGTTTGATTCTTCATCATTTCTTTTGTTAGAACCTTGATTAAAAATACCAGGAGGATCTGTTTTCAAATTAAAGCAAACATACACATATTTGAACACTTGGTGGCGCCAAACAGTCTCAAATGCAGTGCCCAGTGTAAAACAAGCAATGAGCTAATCTAATAAACCTTATAAAGCAACTTCCTTTCTTTTTAAAATGATAATTGTTTGCTTTTGTTTTTTTGATTTGTGAGACAGGATTTCACTATTCAGCCCAGGCTGGCCTCAAGCTCACAATATTCCTTCCTCAGCCTCCTGAGTGCTGGAATTATAGATGGATACACAACCACGTCCAGCAGTAATGATTTTTTTTTTTTTTATAAAAATTGCAAGTACAACACAAATAGCATTTTTTTTCCTGAGCCATTTGGGAGTAAACTGCAGACAAAATGTTCAAACATTAGGTAGGGTAGAGCAAGAGAGGTGTTTGTGCACAGGTGTGGCCTAGTGTTACAAAGTGTCAGATCTTGGACAGGTAATGAGGACATATACATGAAGGGGGTGTCCAGTACAGGAAGTCAGAGCAAAGCAGGCTAACGAGGGCCTTCTCCCTACAGAAGAGTAGACAGGCGTGGGAGGCCAGGGCCTGAGCAGAATGAGAAGGCTGTCTACATGTGCTTGTAGCCCAGCAGGTGACAGCAATGCCCAGAACAAGAAGGGAGGAGGAAGAGAAGTGTCTTCCTGACTCACTATTTGTTTTTAAATATTTTCTCAATCAACCAAGAAGTTCAGAACTGGACAATATTCATTTTTCTGAATTTTATTTTGTGTCAGAAAAATTAATGAGCTCCAGCCTATTAAATTTCAGTGAAAAACCAGAAGAGAATATGGAAATATCTGGACACCTGACCTAGGAATATCTAGACAGTGATATTGTTCTTTCTTCTCCTAATTTGCTTTCAGATCTTGGGAAAAATTTTGAGACTTAGTTCCCTCATCTATAAAAAAGTGTGGGTATTTTCTATTATCTGATTATGCTTTAATATTTGAGGGGAGAGTGTGTGCTTTAGGATTCCTGGATTCTTCTTCGGTTTTGTGTGTCCAGGAAAATTTAAATGGCTGTAATATTTAAATTGGGATAGTCAATTTTGTCATTTTCTAGAAGTATAGTAATTTGTAAATGGTATTTTTATGTGGAAAAAGTATATGTACACTATAATTTCTAAACTCCCTAACAGGCACATAAGTTACATAGGTGTGTATACATGTATATACTTTAACATATATACAGGTCAGTTCTAAGAAATTGAATCTCTGAGAGTGTCATGTTAGGAAAAATGTGTCAGGACATAGGACTGTGTTCACACAGGGAGCAGCCCCAACAGGACACACTATCAGACCTGATGTTTTTATAGAACACAAAGTTTTCATATCTACTATTTAATAATCTGATCTCTCTAGTCACTGTGCAATAAGGCAAGTTTTTTGTTTTGGCTGTAACTGAGGTTTGAACTCTACCCTTTGAGTCATTCTGCCAGCCCTTGTTTTTGTTATTGTTGTTGTTGGGTATTTTTGAGATAAAATCTCATGAACTATTTGCCCAGCTTGCCTCAAACCCTAATGTTCCTGGTCTTTGCCTCTCAGTTAGCTAGAATTATAGGCATGAACATGACTTTTTGAGATGCCACTTAAAATCATTGTTGTCTGAGTATGGACCAAGTCCTAGGTCTGCAGAGTCAGCTGCAGACCTTTTCTGCACAGTAAGGATAAGAACATGTACCTCTCATTCCAGTCATATATTGTACAAGAAGTTATGTCTCTGAGGAAAGGCATATTTTCATATCCAGGAGATCCTGGTCATATATATATAATATACGTATATTGTTCAGATTGCAGCTCAACCTGCAGGAAACTCACTTTCTTCATGGCGCACTTTTTTCTCAAGATTCCTATAGTCCTTTGTAGTTCCTGTTATATACATCTGGAAACTGTATTCTTCCTGTTATATTGTAAAAGAATTACAGGATACTTTAGAATATTGTAGGTATAGGAGGGGCTTAGTCAATCATTTATTTATTTACCCACTTATCAGTATCACTTTTTACATGCCAGGTAGTATTCTAAAGCTGTAGAAAAAAATAATAGAGAAAAACAGTACCTGCTCTCAAGAAACCATCTTTAGCTAGGTGAGGCAGCACACACCTGTAATGCCACCTACTGGGGTTGCAGGTAGAGAGTAAAGCTGGGAGTCGGAGGCCAGATAGGGCAGTTATGGAGAGCCTATCTAAAAAACAACATAAGACAAAAGGGCTGGGGTATGACTCAAGTGGGAAAGTGCTCTAGCATGCACGAGGCCCTGGGTTCAATTATAGTCTAGTGCAGGAAGTAGAAATAAAGTCAACAATTAGAATTAGATATAAGAAGTGTCAGGTATAATGGCATATGCTTAAAATCCCAGCTACTTTGGAAGTGAAGGCAGGAGGATTGCACATTAGATCTAAGATCTAATTCATTCTTTCATTCTCTTATTCACTTAACAAATGTTGAGATGCTGGTCTAGGCTCTGGAGGTATGCTGTAAGTAAAGCTAAATCACTTTCCTCATAGCGCTTATATTTTGTGATGGTTTGCCTAGGGTTGTAGCTGAAAAAGAAATGGACCTAGATTTGAACATAGATAATCCAAATCAAAACCCCGGCTCTTGGGCTAGCAGAGTGGCTCAAGTGGGTAGAGCGCCTGCCTAGCAAGCATGAAGCCCTGAATTCAAACCCAGTACCACCAAAAACACACACACAGAGCACCTGCCTATCAAGCCCCCAGTTCAACCCCCCAGTGCTATAAAAAAAAAGTTTAAAAACACACACAAAAAAACCCCCAGCTCTTTCTACTATACTACATACTATGCTACTGTAAAAACTAGTAGCATCAATGTATGATGAAAACGTTTAATCTGTTTTGTTTCAGTTATGTTTATAGCTCTATAATTAGCCTTCTTTCCCCCGTAACTGCCCAGTCTGCTAAGTTGTGATGTAGAGGAAGAAGCTTATAGAAGTTTAAGGCTCCTCTCCTGGGAATCCTATTATATTCCTTCCTTTTTAGCTGGTCAAATTTAATTCAGGTGTCATGGAAATGTTCTTAGTATTTAAGAAATAGCCACAATAGCTAACTGTTTATTAAATCTGCAGCAGTACCTTGATGATAACACTGTGGAAGCTATGTCCTTTCGGAAGAGTGCAAAGGAATTACTTCAGCTAGCAGCCAGGACTTTAAAGAAATTGGGAGTGCGATTTTGGCTGAGCAGTGGAACTTGTCTAGGTACAGTTCTTATTACTTTATACTTGTTGTCTTGTCATTTCATCCCTTTTAGTTTTAGAGATGAATGCTTGATATTAGAAGTGTATTTATATACAGAATAAACATTAATGCATGAACAAGGATCTGTTGATTTCTTTAAATAAATTAATTGCAGAAGTCTAAAATAGAATTATAAATAATGTGTATAAATTAAAACATAGATTATAGTTGATTCCCAGGTAATCCTTAAATTAGCATTTTTTTATTTCTATCCCAAAGATTGTAATTGCCTTAAAAGAAAAAACTGTATTTTGTTTGTCTGGGTACCAGCGACTCATACTTGTAATCTTAGCTACTTGGGAGGCCAAAATCAGGAGGATCACATTTTGAGGACAGTCTGGGCAAAAAGTTCATGATACCCCATCTCAACAAATACCTGGGAGTGGTGGCCCATGCCTGTCATCCCAGGTATGGGAGGCCGAGATTGGGATAATCATGGTCCAGGCCAGCCTGGGCAAAAAGTGGGGCTCTGTCTCCAAAATAACCAGAGCAAAAAGGGCCAGAGGCATGGCTCAAGCAATAAAGCTCTTACCTAGCAAGTGTAAAGTCCTAAGTTCAAACTCATGCACAAAAACAAAAACTATTGTACTTACACATCATACAACCAGCTTGCATTGTACCAAAATATCTCTAATGTGAGGAAGACTGAAAGGAGCATCCTAAAGTGTTCCACAAACCTTTTCCAGGTCATTGATAATATCACTGGTTAGACATCACTGTTCAACTGAGATGGAGAAAGATAGACTTTTCTGTAGTCCTTAAGCAAATGGCTTTTAGAATCTGAGAAAGATTTCTGGATCTCCATCCAGTATTAAATCAAACTTCTCTGACATTTAGAATTATTTAGAATCTTAAATTTTGTTCTGTTTTATTTGTTCCCTTTGATATTTACTGTAGTTGATTATATTTGTTGTTTCTTCATTATGACTGTATTTGTACAAAAGTTAATTCAGCTTTTATAAAGAGTTATCATATTATTTATTGTCCAACTGAGAATATTTGGAGAGTGAAAGAAAATGCCATAAATAATTTTGTTTGTGCTACAGGTATCAATTGAGACATGGTTCTCCTATGTGTTAGGCTGTGTGGAAGATTACATGGTAATCTCTAGTGGTAAGGTCCACTGGAGTAAGCCAAAAAAGGAGACCTTGGGCTGCTGTTGAGTGGCTCAAGTGGTAGTGCACCTGCCTAGCAAGTGCAAGGTTGTAACCCTAGTACTGCCCCCCCGCAAAAAAAACGAGAAAAAGAATTTCTTACTTGTGTGACATTTGCTTTAAGATTCAACTTTTTAGAAGCAAATTTGTTTAATAGTTCGTGTCATCAAAAATGCATCCTAATTATTTGTCATGAATGCTTTTGAGTTTTTAGTGGTTTACTTCATTTAAAGGTATTGATGAGAGGCCCTGCATTCAGAACCCCAGTACCACTGGTAGAATGGCTCAGTGGTAGAGCACCTGCCTTGCAATCATGAAGCCCTGAGTTCAAACACTACTACTGCAAAAAAAAAAAAAAAGTCATTGATGAAATGAGGGAGTTACATTAGATGTAACTATTCTACTAAATGATATTTAAGGAGCCTTCCACTTTTAAGGTAATTATAGATGAATATTTACTTTTAAAATAATTTGGATGGAAAGATTAGTAGAAAAATAGAGAAGATTCAGGAGTTCTTAGTAATATTGAGGCATAAATTTTAGTGTTTTAGAATGATTTTATAGTATCTAATTGACAAGGTGATACTTAGTAAGCACTTATTTTTTGACAATGTGTTGAAGGAAAATCTGTTTTATATGCCTATCAGATAGGATCTGTTCAGAGCTGTTAAGTTCCACAAATTTTGACTCAGGAAAGTATGTCAATTAAGAATTAACTATTTTATCTGTGGCTCATGTGTGTAATCCTAGCTGCTTGAGAGATGGAGATCAGGAGGATCAAGTTTTAATGCCTTTTCTGGCAAAAAAGTTTGTTGAGACCCCCAAGTGTGCACCTGTCATCCCATCTACATGGGAATATAAATAGGAGAATTGTGGTCTAAGTGGGTGTTTAAGGCATAAACACGAGAATCTATTTGAATAAATAATGAAAGCCAAAAGGGGTAGATGTGTGGCTCAAATGGCAGAGCACCTGCCTTCCATGCATAAGGCTCTGAGTTCAAAGACCTCATTACCACAAAAAAAAAAAAAAAAGAATTTTTTTTTTCAGTACTGGGATTTGAACTCAGGGCCTACACCTTGAGCCACTCCACCAAACTTTTTTGTGTATGTGATGGGTTTTTTCAAGATAGGGTCTTGAGAACAGTTTTCCCAGGTCAGCTTCGAACCTCAATCCTCCTGATCTCTGTTTCCTGAGTAGTTACAATTGCAGGCATGAGCCACTGGCGCCCAGCAAAACATACATCTTAAAGCAGCCCCCATCACTAAACGTTAATGGTTAAACATTCTAAACAGCAACTTTTTAAAAATAGATAGCCCAGTCAACAGATTATTAAAGCTAATGAGTTTTTACAAAATTAAAATATATCATGAAAATTTTTGAGGAAGTTGCATGCTCAAACCAGTAAATATATAGAAATATAGATAGGTGATAGATAGATAGGTTGATAGATAGATAGATAAAGGAAGTTCTTCAAGAGGTGACTATCACCAAGTCATTTTGTTTATGATTTAAGTTTTTTAAAAAATAATTTTGGTGCAGAAATATTATTGAACATGGATCACACCTAAGGAAAGACCATGCATGGGAGGAATAGGGAAAGGGAAGGAAACCTAAAACTTAAATGTGTTTGATGTGCTCACTGTATAGAAGCGAATATAGTAATCTTAAACTGGCTGAGGCCACTGTGGGAAGGGGACTAGGAAGTAGTGAAGAGGTCTGGTACAGATGAGCCAATATGGGTTGTAATACACAAGTACATGGAAACAACGCTAGGATTATCTCTGTATAGCTATCTTTATCTCAAACTAGCAAAAACGGTATGTTTTTCTTATTTATCTCTCATGTTTTCTCTTCAAAAAAATCGGAGAACAAGAGGGTGGAACAGGTTTTTCCCAGAAGTGGTTGGGGGGGGCGAGGTGGCCCAAATAATATATACACATGTAAGTAAATGCAAAAACAATAAAATAAAAATTTTAAAAAATACATAAATAATTATTTTGGTCAGGTGCCAGTGGCTCATGCCTGTAATCCTAGCTACTTCAGGAGGCAGAGATCAGGAGGATCATGGTTTGAAGCCAGTCCAAGGCAAAGTTAGTGAGACCCTATCTTGAAAATACACAACAAGACTTTTGGAGTGCTTAAAGTGTAGGCCCTGAGTTCAAATCCCAGTACCACAAAAAAAAAAAGATAGATAAATAATTTTGGTAGAGCAGTCTATGTCTAATCCTGAGAAATAAAAGCCATTGTTTTGAAGATTATCCATTATAATGACTTTTTTTGCAAGTCTAAATTTGATTTTATTTTATGCCTTTTTTTTTTAGGATGGTATCGGCAGTGCAATATTATTCCTTATAGCAAAGACGTCGACCTAGGAATTTTTATACAAGATTACAAATCTGATATTATTTTAGCGTTTCAGGATGCAGGACTTCCACTCAAACACAAGTTTGGGAAGGTCAGTTGCAAGAATTGACTTAATTTCATAAGTTACGTATCTCAAATGTAAAGTTTCTATTAAGCAACTCAAATATTGTTAAGAGCACTGAAAACTGGGCCTGGTGGTGCTGTCCTCTGATCCCAGCACTTGGGAGGCTGAGACAGAAGGATTGCAAGTTCCAGGTCAGCCTGGACTGCATGCAGGATTCTGCCTTAAAAAAACAAAACAAAACTATTGTATACATAATTTTATCATTCAATATTGACCAGAATGGTGTCAGCAGAACCTTGTTTCCCTGATGATTTCTGCACTATTTAAGGAAAAACTGGAAAATCTGACTTTTTATTGACAATGAGAAAATAAGGATCTTGGATTCTTAAAAATGAATTTATTACCAGTAAATTAGGTAATAATATAACATAAAATTAATGTAGAAAGTAAGAATCCCACCCACCCTATCTGAAGTTACATTAATTCTCATAAGTCAATTTAATTCTATGTTCACTAAAATAGTCCATTGATTGCTAAGGGATAGAAATATAAAAATCATTTAAAACAAGTACTAGTTTCTTAACTTACATGTCTTAAGTTATAGCTGTTTCCTCAGAGGTCAGTCAGGGATAGGTCATTGTGGTCCAGATGAAATCCTGCTCTATGGACAATTTGGTCCCTATGTCCCAATCCCATGAGCACTTGTAATCATCTTGCTCTTAATTTGCTTACTCCCAGAGAGGTATTATACTATAAAGCAAGTGGAGATATGGTTAGTTCCTGAAAAACTATTTCTTCCATTATAAATTCTCGTTTTACTTTACTAAAAAAAGGTTTAATGAAATACTTTCCTGAGGTCAAAGTCAAAGCAATAGAGCTTTAGTCATTCAACAAACATTTCTTGAACATTCTCTGTCTGGAACTTTAATCACTCTGCACCTGAAACACAAAGAGGAATAAATTTTAATTCTTAACCTTGAGAAGCTCATTGTCTAATTGGGAGGGGGAAAAACATATAAATTATTATGTGATTGGTTCTATAATAGATAGATGGACCAAATCCAATTACCATTTTTTTCTCTGTACCTTAATTTTTTATTTCTTCTTTTTCATACACACACACACATATATTTATATGTATATATATATATAAAATGACCTGTGCTATGTATGTGGCTATGTATAGAATACTACTCTACTTAGTTATTTATTGATTGTGGTGACTTACTTCCCGATAGTTTTTCTTGCTTATTAAAGGAAATAATTTTTGTTTGATTTCTTTCCTTCTTTACTCAGAAAGGTACTTGATGAGGATGTTTCTATTTTCTCTGCAGAGTGATATTTTTGACTACCATCAGTCATTTACTCTGCGTTGTCATCCATTGTAAGAAACATTATTTTATAGGAATTTAAGAAAAATTAAGTGGTGGTTTTCTACAGGTGCATCCTACTAACTTCTTAAGAGGTTCTCCAACTTGAAAAAACATGACTCTTAGAATAAATATTCTATGTATACAAAGCATAAGAATCTTTTTCTGTCTTTTTAAAAAGTTTTTTTAAATGCATTTTTATTGTTTCAGTCTCTGAAGGTTTTCATCTTCCTCCTAGGTGGAAGACAGCTTGGAACTATCCTTCCAGGGGAAAGATGATGTAAAACTTGACATTTTTTTCTTCTATGAAGAGGTTGACCATATGTGGAATGGAGGCACTCAAGCCAAAACAGGAAAAAAATTTAAGTATGAATCAGATAAGTTGTTAAAAGGGACTAAAGAAGTAATTTCTTAAGGTAGAATAAGGAAACAAAGTGTGTTGAGGCTCCATTATTCATAGAGTCCAGTGATGTCTGAGAACTACAAATGGCAACAGTCTTTGACGAGGAAGTGTCACTAGGTTTGTCAGTTGAAGGTGTCATTGTGTTCAAAACCCTTGGGTCATCAGGAAGAAAATATCAAAACAAGGAACACAAAAATCAAGTCCAGAGTCTAAACTGAGAAAAACAGTTTGTCAGAGTTGTAGGAGCTTGATAATTATATAAGAATGGGTAAGAGTTGGTAAGGAGTAAGACATGATGAAGTGAAGTTTAAATGAAGAACTTGAGATTGAATGGGGCTGAGTCCACAATCCTGGGCAACCTTTAGAATGTGCCTTCAGTGTAGACTGAAGGCTAATCCTTAAAGAATATACACAAGCTTAACAGCAACCATATTTCATTGACGTAAGATGTACCATTATTTTATGTGCCGCTAAGAAAAGAAAAATATTGCCATGATTCACAGATGGAAAATTGAGAAAGGTATCTCAGAATTACTGGAATGTAGTATGTTAGATTGGTATTATTAACATCTAAATTTTTTAATACCGCCCCACTTAAACTCTTATATAGGAAAAGATAAAATGACAAAGTATGCTCTTCTTTCTGATGCAGTTGACCTATCTTCAATTCCTAGAGAGAGAATGAGTACCAAAAGGTATGGGCTTTGGAGTCAGGTAGACGTAGGAAACATCATCTTTACCCTAACTAATTTGTGGTCTTTAGCTTTTCTGAAAATTAAGTGCTGTGTCTATTAAATTTAGGTAATAACTGTGATGTCAGGCATGATTATGATTATTTTACATGTGTTAACCCATCTAATACAACAACCTTGGAAGGTAGATTTCCTGTGAGACACTGAGAAGTGATATTTGCTCAAGATCACACAATAAATAAGTGAAGGAGTCAGCAAGACAGCAGTCTGTCTCTAGAGTTCATACTTTTAGCCACTGTTTCATACTGCCTCCCTGATACACCTAAGAGTATGAAGCACTTAGTCTAGTGCTTGGCATTTAGTAAGTTAGCAGCATGTAGGGGGTTTTCCCATTGATATGCTATTTAATATTACTAATATTATGAATATTGATGTTACTACTATCATTACTGCCATTGTTACAGTAGTCATGTGACCAGTGGGGTAAATTTGAGCTGTTGAGCATAAAGGAGAGTATTTTATAAGCGCAGAGGAGAAATTCCAGATTCATATTGGTTTCTTGTGGGTTGACTCACCTTACTAGAATCCCTGAAGGCAGGGAGTTTTTGTGTAAGATTAAGTTTGTTTTGGAGGTTGAGAGTAATCCAAACATTTTCCGCAAAGTCATAAGGTATCCCCAAATTGACACTGCCCCAGAGCTTATTCTTCGAACTTACCATAAAAAATTATTTATGAAAGCAAATTAATTTGTGCTGGATAAGCTCTGATTGTAAGACACATCAAAATTAGTAAATTAATGAATATGAAATTGACACTGTCACTGTGGCTAGATGAATAGGGTAAATGTTTTTGACATTTAGCTACAGTTCAGTTATTCAAATATAAAAATGCCAAATTTAATGTATCATTAAGAAATTCTTAAAAAAAAAAACAAAACCCTGTAAGATAGTACAACAAAAATTAAGAATATAGAGCTAGCATACTTGCTATATAACCCCAGCTCCATATTTTACCATCAATATTACTTTCAGCAAGTTATTTAACCTTTCTGTGTAAGAGTTCTCAACTGGAAAATGGAAAAACAGAAATTGCCACAGAGTGGTTTAAAGGTTAAAAGACTTGATACACAAAAAGGATCTTGAAGAATGTCAAGATATCCTAAGTGCTAAGTAACTGATAACTTCTATTATTATCAATACAATAGTAGTAGTAGTAGTAGTAAAAACAAAACAAAACAAAACAAAAAAAACTATTCCTGTTCTTAGTCTTACAAGAAATTTACAGATTAGAGAACTGTATAATTATCTCAGTAGAAAGGTGCTGCATCTGTTCTTAGAGAACTCATATAAGAGAGTCACCATTTTTCAAAGAAAGATAATTTCAAGAGCTAGCATTAGTCTTTTTGTTCTTAAATTTCTTTCTAAGGAGTGAATTTTTCTTCTCACTGACATGATCTAGAAGCCACAAACTTCAAAAGAACTATTCACTTCCAACTACTACATTTCTGGATAGAGAAAGCTTCTTTCATTCTGCTGCAACTGCTGTTTATAGTTGCAGTGTTTGGGAAGTGTGAAGTGTTCTGACTATTTAACAAGAGAAATGAGCAGTGATAGAACTGCCTGGACAGATGGTGTGAGTCCCAGATTTCCTGTCATGTTTCTGTGACCTTAAAAGGCAGAGAAAAGAACAGGAGATGGCTGCTTAGAGTAGTTTCTTTGGAAGATTCCCCCAGCCATATGCCATTTTCATTCTTTTCAGTGCTATTTACTTTAAGAAAAATACAGTATTTTTGACACCACTGTTTCTAGGGGGAGGGAAAAAAACCTTTAAACTAGCATAGGTTTTTTTTTTTTAATCTTCATAATATTCTGTTTTTATTCATGTGTAGTATATGTCTAGAAAAACTAAAAATACAGAATGCTTACCATTAAAAGGATGAAAGGTACTCAGAATGTTGGAGAAGAGTCTCCTCTTTCTGGACTTTACTCTGTGTACCTCCTGAGTGATGTCTTTGTAATAATTCTAATAGTAACAGCAGTAGTAAATATATAGTTACCAGAGTATCTACTAGGTTCAAGCAGTGTGATAAGTACTTTATGTATATAATCTTAGATAGTCCTTACACTATTCCTGCGGGTTAGGTATTCTCACACCAGTTAGACATAAGAAGACTAAAGCTCAAGAAATGAAGTCGCTTGAGGTCACTGTCCATTAATAGCAGGGCTAAGATTTAACCTGAGACTTGATTGACTCAAACCTAAATGCTTTCTTCTAAGACTTAGTAGATTAAGTAAGTTAATAAATGTAATGCATTTAGAACAGAAACCAGCAATACTGTCAGTACCTTGTAAGTACTGTATTAGTATGAGCTGCTGCTGATAGTGTCATTACTATATTACTGCTACATGGTCGTTATTACTGCTGTGCTCTAGGGCATAAAGCATAGCATCCTCTACACAGTGCTGAGTGGAATGTGGGATTTGTTTCTCTCTAGGTAAGCATTTTTTTCCCAGGTATCAATTCAGTCTTTTACTCCTTTACTTCCCATTTGCTCTTTCTTTAAAGTTGTTCTTTCACCTATTCCATTTTCAAATATTGTCTGCATTTTCTATATCTACTTTTCTTCTTTAGAGTCCAGATTGCCAGTAAGAAAATGTGATGGATATAGTAATTTTTTAATTCCACAACTTTACAGTTCTTATACCTGCCAGTTAAGTTTCTTTTTGTTATTGCTTTCCTTCCTGTTTTACTCAACTGATACAGATGGAGACCAGAAGTTTTAGAGGTAATCATAATAGTTAACTTTTATTGAATATTCACTATGTGCTAGGTGCTATGATGCTGTACTTTTATATGCATCATCTTATTTAACCTTTACAAACCTTTGTAAGGGAGATTTTAATATTAGTGCTTTTATTTAATAGATGAGGAGATTAAGGCAGAGACTCAAACCTAAGTCTGTATTACTTCAGAGCTTATGTTCTTAACTGTACCCCATGTTAGTGTCACCACTGTCTCTGTCATGTTGTTAATATTCCCTTCATGGATACACTGTCATGGTAATATAGCTACCCCTATATCTTCTAATAGGAATTCCTATGACTTCTAATAGGAAATATTCTGTTCCTTAAGTTAGTAGTGGGTTCCTTACACCTTCTTATATTCACTATTTCTGCTTCCTAGATAGACTTCAAAAATTTTGACTCATCCTTTGTGGACTACACACCCATTCAATTGTGACTTCTATGTAATTTATTTATTCATTTCTATAAAATATATTTAAGAGTACTCTGTATCTTAGATACTGATGCTACTATATTTCTGCTATCAAGGAGCTCATAATCTAGACCATAAAAACAAATGTTAAAGTACTCTATCAGTGCAATTACTGAACTATGTACAAATTATAGTTGAGTCAGCAAACTCACCCTATCTAGAAACAATAGCAAGGAAAAATGGCTTAAAAACAGAGAGGTTGGTTAGATAGACATAGAGGTGGAGAAAGGCTTAATAATAGCTTTATTTAACTGTTTTTCTACTCTGGTTGCTTTCATTTTTTAATTAAAATTCTGAGAGCATCTTTGCATATAAAATAAAAACTTTATTTGGATTTATTTCCTTAAACAGATACCCAGAAGTGGAATAAAAGGTTTGTATACACACATACACACACATACATACACACACACATACACATACACCCCAGAATATTATTCAGACATAAAGAGAAGGAAATTCTGTCATTCGTGTTAATATAAAAGGATTGGGGATACATTAAGTGAACTAAGTCAGACCTAGAAAGACAAGTGCTGCATGTATGTCTTATGTGGAAGTTAAAAAGAAGTTGACTTGAATATTGAATACTAATTACTACTGATTGAGAAAGGAGTGGGAGGGATAAAGGGAGGCTAGATTTGATCAGTTTACACTATATGGACATACTGAACTAAAGTATTGAATCCCATTGATATCTACAATTAATACATGTTAATCAAAAAAGGTCAAGTTGTCTTCATTTGACCATACTGTCATACATAGAAGTTTAATAATAACCTTGACATTCAGGTGTTTTTTTTTTTGGTGACACTGGTGTAGGGACTCAGGGCCTCACACTTGCTAGGCAGGCACTCTTACTGCTTGAGCCACTCCACTAGCAACCTTGACATTCAGATCATAATCAATCATATATCATATGAATAATCAATGGGCAAATTTATCCTTAGTAATTCTGAAAAAGAAAAGGTGCGTGTGTTTTATTTTGATACATATCG